GGATCCCCGTGCCACACCTACATTCTAGCCTCATGTACATATCACAGACAGCAGTCATGTACGGATACGGAGGCAGTCGTATTCGAGGCAGTCAGCCCTCGTCCACATGTATGCAAACCTGGGTACTTTCAGCGTGTGAACTGTATTGAATGGCATGCCAATTGATTCCATACCCCTGTCGGGCATTTGTTATCGGCTATCACTTGGCCGATCATGATTTCAATGTCATCACTTTGCCCTTGCTTTCTTCGGGCAACCCTGGCGTTATTGCGGTGTACACAAACACCGACCACCTTCGGCGAAGTGGCTACCTGCGTAAGTGCTTTGATATACATATATCGTGCAACAGGCGCGCAACTGTGCCTCATTACGGAAAGCGACATATGCAAAGATGCAGTGGGGACGACATTCTGCCGGTGAATTCTTTTTACTAGCACATACCAACTCTGTTCAATTGACATGCTCTTTTTAACCCCACAAGTTCCGCTTCGAGGTTCCGCGCTCTGGTCTCCATCGCTCCTAGGAAACGCGTGATTGCTTAACAGAGTGGTATCTGGCAAGCGCCTGAGTCTGTTGCTGTCGTCCAGAATCTACAAAGTACAGAATCATCTGCTGCCGGTGTGCTTCGGTTCCGGAAGCCCGTCAAGGGGACAATAAGCTGTTGGCGTTGTCGCCCGGCCTGGCAGGATAATATGCACGAGATAGTCGGAAGCAACAGGAGTAGAAGAATGCCAGGCCTGTCGGGGCCGCTCCTACGTGCATACAGGCCTGGCCCCGTTGTGATCGACCTGCAGCAGGAGCACACATCAACAGGCAGGGTGCTGTGACGCGGGGTTCTTCAATAAGGACACCGCTACTCTCGCCCGGAATGAACGACGACTGCCGGACGCATCCGCCGACCCCAAAAGCTCCAGACGGCAGAGGTCACACACAGAATTCTGCCTCAGAGGGGCGCTGACGATACATGTCGTTGCATTCATCACCTGTGTAACCCTCGGGGATGATGTCGTGAGCAAGGCTTGCTATTAATACATTGACTGTATATCTGCATGTACATCCAGTGAGGATGTATGAGGCGGCATCACCTGATCTCAACATCAACATCAAACAACAACCTATCCGTTGGCTGTTAAAGCGGATCGCACACCACGAGCGTATCCGCTTCCATTGCACCCAATTCCTTGCTCATTTAGTGCAAGAGCAGCAGTCCTGGCTTCCAGAAGGACGCTATAGTATGTCTGCGTGTACGACAACATCGAGGTGTGTGAGATACTCCACTTGGAGCGTCATAAGTTTCAACGTCTCGCGGGGATTGAGATGCAGGCTAAACGAGAGCCGTATTTTCAGCTGTCGCTGAGAGGGGCCCCAGTTGCCGCGTAGGTTCTAGCGAGTCACAACGCCCTGCAACCCGAGCTAATCCTTGGCAAAGTACCTTCAGATTTGACCAGCACTGCATAGATCCGCCTTGGATGTGACTGCATATGTGGTGCGCGGCGCATGTACATACAGTGACCAAGCTCCTCGGCATGGCATATATTACCATCTTAGGGAAACGAGTCTTGATGGGGTTGGCGCACGCGAGGAACCCCGCCCGTCAAGAGAAAGGGGGCAAGATTGAGCTAAGAGGTCACCTCTGGATGTCTTTACGTGTTCGGATGCACAGAGTACGAACAGGGAACGAGAAGGATCCCTCCCCATCATGCTGGGGATGGACACAAGTAAATGAAAACGTGGTAGATGCTTGCGGAGTGCAGAATTGGCAACCTTCGCCCGTTCAGACTCCCGGTTCGGTCCTTACCCGTCGAGGCCCTTCCTATGAAACAGAAGCTACGAGTTCGAGTGAGGATGGGGGAAAGGAGGTTCTCCTCATCCCGGATCAGATTCATCAATACACCCTGTATGTTACCCCTGTCGAAGGTCATGCATCATCCTATGCGTACCCAGGCTAGAGAGGAGGGCCTTTGCAAGCTTGAGACAAGACTGTCATTTATTCACGGCCGTTATTGACACAAACGATTGTCTCGAAAAGCAAATAACCACATGCCGGGGAACTGCCCTCATTTTTGAGCCTCTTTATCTCGTCTGTCATGCGGGTTCTCAACCCAACCCTTGCCCTAGTAATTAAAGAATCTCGGCCGTTAACCCGTCTGAGATTTGCACACAACTTGATCGTCGGAGAAATGTAAAATTGCGGGTGTCAAAATGGGCCACACGACATGGCCAACTCGTGGCAAGCTCGTCGGCCAGCCCCCGTCGGCTGTCGCTCAAGGCGGCGTGAGTGACGCATCGTCTCTAGGAGCGAATCCCTTCCAAATTCCATATCAACGTACATGGGCTTCTTTTCTCGAGCCTGCCTGGAACTTTTGGCGATAGCCGGAGCATCCACTGGCAACCAGGGTTAGCATAAAGACTGCGGGCGCGACAGCTTCACCTCCACCTGCTCGCAACTCGGTTTGTCATGGAGGGATTGAGGCCGTTGGCGTTGATACCCAACCCGCTACATACACACATTGAGAGGAATCGCGCGGCGAATGTCTGCCTGGTGGCGCGTAGGATCCTTGCGCTAGCGTCTCATGAAAGGATTTTCCTCTCACTTCAAGCCTTTGGACTGATTTATCCCATCACACCACCACATGGCAAGCCTGCTTCCACCTCCGCCTCTCTAACTAGCCACGGTAAGACAACATCTCCACTCGGATCGGGAAGGATCATACGCGGGCATTGGTTCAAGGGTGATGCCCTGAAACCAAGTAGGCTAGACTGTTCATAAACCAGAAGGTACTTGGGAATACCTCTGTGCGCATTTAACTTGTTGTGCGCTGGAGGATACATTCGCTGGTTGATCTCTCGCTTGCGTTGATGTTGTCCCTTGTCTCTGCTGATACTCCGAACCCCCAACCCTCCACCGCAGTTATCTCATTACTATCTCGTTTAATTTTCCCTATTTCACTTGATTCTCTTTGTGCCCAGCTTGTAATTGGAGTTTCTCGTCCCTATTGAGGGTTGTCGGCAACTTCCGTTAAATCGCTCAGCCGCGATGAGGGTCGGCCGCCTGTCCTTTAAATAGTTTCGGAATTCTCCTCATAAACAGACAGGTCAACAGACAATATCAGAACAAAACCCGACCTTACCCTCGCAGTCTCTGAGTTATTATCAGTGCCTGGTGTCTGCCTTACCTTTCATTGGCAGGTAGTAAGTTTTTAGCATAGTATTACTACTGCCCTTGTATGGGCGCATAAATTAGCACTTGAGAGTGACATCGGGAGGTGGATTACTCCGTGGAACTCCGTGAAGACCAATGGGCTTTTGTCCAGACAATGCAACAGCCTGCCATTGCTGTTACGAGCCAGCTTCCCAGGGATCGATCAGTGCTGTTGCCTATACCGTAGACCGCGCGCCATCTTACCGCATCACGGCTGTGAGGTGCCAGACCACTGCTCAGTGCGTCACGCTTGTCCTCGGAAGGCAGCCGCGGGAGTCTTCCTCAGTCTCACTTTGGCCGCGGGCTGCATGTAGCACAACCACGCCCAGGGGAGTTGGTGGAGAGCGGCGGGGGAGGGGTTGAGGGTTTGATCGCCCAGGCCTCGAAACGAGTCGAATCCGCTGTTCTCGAGGGTAAACGCACAGTTGAGCGTTAAACCTCCACTCAGAATGCTCCCCTCGTGCATTCCCGCCTCCGCCCTCCCTCCCTCCCAACTCCGCCCAGTCCTGTTCTGATTGAACTTGCATGACAAGCACAACGGGTTTCTGCATGTAGACAGGTCTGTAAACACGTGTCTCACCGACCGCCTGTTGCTCTGTCACGCTAGTAGCTAGAAGATTTAGTAGAGTAGGATAGTGCCATGCAGAAGAAAGTCCAATGCCGTCGGCGAACTCCATGACCGAAGAACCCTCCTCTTGATCGCATCTTCTTGCCTCTTGCGTGAAGGGGGTGCGAGCGAGAGTCTGCCGTCGGCGGTTAGCTGCCTGTTGCCCGGCGCCCTCCCGCAGAGGAGACCAGAAGCGGCAGCCCCCTCCCAAGGCCCTGCATGAGGAATCTGATGATTATGCAAGGCCGCGCTGCGGGCTTGACGCAGAGATAATTTAAAAAGGTCATGCCAGCGTCCCAATATCTTCGACGCAGGCCGGTGGGTGAGGCTGGGCAAGGCCAAGCCACCAAACGGGTGAAAGGCCCGGCGGAAGATCACCAACGGCTGTCTCAGCTGGCAGCAGGCCAGGACGCTCCTCCACCTTGGTTGGCTGGTTTTCGAGATTGATGGTGTAGGGAGAGGATATCAATGCTCAGGATCATATGCAGCCCTATGCAGTCACACATGGCCGCGCGTTGTTGTTTTTCTTTTTCTTCTTCGCAGGTTGATGGACATGATAATGGTACCTACCGTCAAGGTAGGTACGGTGATTCATGCAGGCCAAGGATGAAATAGCATGTTGGTCGCAAACTCACCAACATTCATGATTGAAGAAGGATAGGGGTTCACTCTCAAATTAATCCCAGAATATGATCTCAATACGCCGATGCCCTTGTCATGTCTCCCCTCTTCCCTCACGGCCGGTCAATACCTAATCTGGAGCTTGAGCTCATACTCCAGCCAGCATGACCTGGGCCCCAGCTGAAGAGGGGAAAAAAGCAACGTTCTTCATGCTAAGAGGAATGTGAGACACCTTTATTGGATTACCTCATTTGTGATGCACTTTTTACATGTGTCAAACACACGTGTTTGCTATATTTCTAAACAGTCGAGTACCAGTCTCATCGTCTATGTCTTGGTGACGCATTTTCCTCGCCTCATCATTACCTTCCGTAAATCATTTGATAACATAACATCCTTCCCCCTCTATCAAGTCATTTTCCGTATGCTTTACAGCTATGAGATAAGGAGTGCAGGTCATCATGTGTTGGAACAAGTCAAACAAGGTCACTCATGTCGCACAGGCGTATATTTCAACACACGTAGCAAACGAACCCTCCTCCTCCGATAGACTCATCGATGTATCCCTGATCAAGGCCATAGCTCTGCCGACGTCCATGTCTGCGATTCTGTACGCTGGTAATTCCACCGTCGCCCTCTATCCGGATCGGTGAGATCAACCTGGTCAACGTCGTCTGGGACAATAACGAGAAGGCGAAAGTGTCTTCTCGCAATCTCATCCTCAAGATCTTCCACCTTCTGCCCCAAACCGTACCCCTCCTCCGGCGTCTCCGTGATGGGTCTTCCGGGAGGTGGGTTACGGAAAGATCCTCTCATGGTAGGGCTAAGGTTACCGAAGTGAGCGGTGAGCTCCGTTCCCCAGCTCCAAGGACCGTCTCCGATGCGCCGCATCTGATCTTCCAGTGCCTTCCTCACGGGCGCTCCAGCATCCGTGTCGATGTCCGGACCAATTACGTACGCGTGGCCCCGGAGCCGCCATTGCGTTTTGGTTTTCGGTACCCAGAACACAGCTTCGACAGGGCCCCCTCTACCAGACTGACTCTGCTGGTTTTGGCCGGAGGAAGATCCCAATAATTCGGGGATTTTCTCCATGCGGTCGTCGGTTGTGAGGGTGAGCAGGTCCGACTCCCACGTATCCGGATTTAGCTTGGCCGAGTTCTTGGGATTGACGTCCATTCCACCCAGCATCCCACGGAAGACGACGGTGCGGGCCCTCGGCGCGAGCGAAGAGCCTGCGGCAGAAAATGGCTGCTCATTGGAGTGAAGCGTACTCAGGTTGAAAATGGGCGCCTCTTGGACGTGAGAGAGGAACTGAGACCTCCAGGGTGCTGCCATTGCGGGAGATGTGCGAGTCAGGCCGTGCTGTAGATGATGTCGAAGCTGCATTGTCCTCTCGGTGCGGATATCTAGCGATCTCATTTGAGTTCGTGGGTTGCGAGAGGAGCGGCAAGTCGCTTGGCTTAATCATGTAGGTAGCCAGGCAAACTAAGAGCACTTGAGGACGTGGACATTATCATATTCCCCACCTACCCCAGAATCAGGCCAGGTTGGGGACTACTCAAGGGATAGATGACGCGGTTACTGAGCACTTATACGCGGGCTTTACATTGAGATATCGAGATCCATGCCTGATAAGATTTTTCTCTTTCAATCATGCCTGTATTTCAATTGGACGTAAACTTTGGCGGCTATAGGTTGATAAAAAATTGGAAGACTCAATCACGTCATAGTTCTGCTGCATGGTAGCACATATCTTGTCTCCTACAAATTCCTTCAGTCCAGTAATCACGATGAATGGCAGCCGGTTATTCATCAATATTCAAGATGGGTATTATCATGCTATTCTATCGACGTGGTTGGGGTTAATGAAATGGCATCCTGATTGGTGTGTGGCCTACCTCGATTCATGTGTGATTTGGAGGTAAGGAATATCTACCCCAACCCTCTTCGCCATCTGCACCGAATATCGGAACGGGTGCGAATCATACGAATAGTGTTGCATTTGCCCCAGTACTAGACGAGGGCCCGCTGATACCGAGTCCGCTGCGCACAGGTTTTATCTACTTGCACAGATGCGGTGAGTAATGTTGAAGATTTCCACAGTAAAGGCTTCAGGCCACCGGTGGCGGCCGGCAGTCTCGGGGTAGATCCGGAAGCAACTAAAGACTGGGGAAATGCTCCGTATCCGGCATCTCAGCGATCAGGTCGGGTTTGACAACAGTCCATCCGTCTGTGTCCAAGGCGGACACCAGGCCAAGGGAATTGCAAAGCTGCTTGGAGCTTAAGGCCCCCCAGGAGTCCAGATCTGACTGCTTGATTTTGTCTGCCTCTCTAAATACAGGTATCCGGTCCACACCAGGGACCCAGCCACTTATACAAGGCCATTTTAAATGGTCGGCAATAATAGCCGACCTGACCGTCCTGTGACACACCCAGTCAATCAAGATTCGCCTAGACTGGGGAATCTAGGTTTAAAGGACAAGGTTATGTGTGAACTACCTCCTAGGTAGGTAAGCAAGCGCGACCGGTGCTCTAGTAATAATATAATCATTTCACTACTACTATAGATGGACTCTACGCGATGTCACAATCAATCCCTCATCAGCGAGGAGGCAAGGCATGGGCAACGAACTGTTTCGCGAGTGGAATTATCCACGTCCAGTTGCGCTTCCTTGCTCGCCGACGCGGCGCTGGTCGGACCTCCATTTATTCCCCATCGCAACTCGCCCAGAACTAGACCTACCTAAGCGCCTAACGGCATAGCAACAGAGCAGCCGGGATCGGGCCCGTTGCGCTTGCTCTGGCTGCCCCTTCCCCACTCTCCCATTCAATCGCACCTTCTCTCGCGCTCGCTCTTCGTCTCGCTTATCCTGTCTTTCCTTTCTTTTGTCCAAATTTGCGTCTTATTCCCATTGCATCCGATTTCCAGCTCCTCTTTCCGCCCCAAAGCTCATTGGACATCCAAATCCATCACCGCGCTTGTCTCTCCCCCTCACGGTCTATTCCCTAAGGAAAAGCCCACCCGCAGTCCGGCCGCTGCACGTCATCTCCATCAGTTATTCCCGGGCTAAACAGACTGGACTTGGCAATTCCATCAGCCACTTTGCTGGTCTGGGCCGGGAGAAAAAAACAGGAGGGTCCCCATGTGTGAGTTTTGAACTTCGGAGTCGGCCAGCATTTACTCGGGAATAAACAGCGCCTCTGCCCGAGCGCTACGGCATCCAATCGCGAATGGATCTGTCTCGGCGGTACCATCATTCTCCGGCCGCCTCACATCGGTCACACCAAGGCCAAGGCATTGTTGTTGGGGGAGGCTCTGTGTCACCTTTAGGCTCATTTCCGTCGCCAACCCCATCCACAATCCGAGTCGCGCCGCCAATTGACAGCGCTGGCTCCAGTTATACCGACCGTGATCGGGATGGGAGTCCCCAAGAGTCGCGTCAGAACGGGGATCTGCGGGCCAGGAAGAAGCAGAAACGTAACAAGCCGACGTTGTCGTGTCAAGAGTGTGTAGAGAGGAAGACAAAGGTACGGGCATTCTCCAATTTGTCTTTTTGGCGTATAGTTTGCGTACACATTGCTTTTGAAGCTCTTGGCGCCTACATGTATGCATGTCTTATATTGACCTTGTGCTGCATAGTGTGACCGTGGACGACCTCACTGTCTAGCTTGTAAGTTTTAGCTTCCACTTACCCCATCATAGCAACGTGAGCTTACAATAAACAAGGCATAAAGAGGCAGACTGAATGCAGATATGCACATGTTGCCAACCTTCTTGAGTATGACATTCAAAGTATTCCAAAAGTTCATTTCGTGGTCGAAGTGCTGACATCCACTCAGAGCCACCTCAAGAACCGAAGCCAATGGGAGGCGTATGACCAAGCCTCCTAAAAAGAAGCTCACAGGACTGGAGAGTCACTCTCCAATCCCGAATATCGCTGACAGAGGCAATGAACATGAGACTTCATCCAGAGGAGCGATAGCCTTGTCTACGGGACTCTTGTCCAACGTGCCATACTCAATTCCCAAAGCCAGCAACGTGTTTGGTATTGGATCGGAGCACCCTTTTGCCAACTATTGGACTTGTGAAGGAGGCTTGCCCGAGGTCGTTTCGGTACTCCCTGACAAAATTCAAGCCGATATTCTCATCAATCGGTATTTTGAATGCGTCGACCCTGTCTACCCGATGCTTCATCGACAAACCTTTTATGCCGACTATGAGCATTTTTGGCAACTCCCTTCTGAGGAGAAGAATGAGGCCGACCCTGCCTTCGTGGGACTCATATTTGTTATGCTTGCACTGGGGACACAATTTGTTACCTCGACTTCTCCCCGGGATCGCAAGCAGACTGCAGAGTTTTATGCATCTGCAAGCAACCAGGCCTTGCGTATGTTCTCATACCTCAGCGCTGCATCCATTAGGTCAATCCAAGCAATGGTTCTGATCACCTATTTCTTGATCAATGACAACCACGCTTCTGATGGGTGGGCTTTCGCCGGGATACTGATACGACAAGCATATGCTATGGGATTACATCGCGATCCCAAAATTGGTATGACTGAACGAAGTGACAGCGTTCGTTAAGATGCTAACATTGTCATCATAGTGACACCGAACGCTACTCCTTTCGAACAACATCACAGAAGGAAACTGTGGCAGGCCGTGTTGCTGCAGGATACATTTCTCACAGTTCTCCTGTCGTTACCGCCGTCAGCAACACATACTGATGTGCTGGTGGATGACTTGCTTGAAGATGGAGCCTCTATCGCGAGTTCTGATCCCACCGATACGGCCTACGTCCGGGCTTCTTGGACGCTGGCCAATCTGGTACAAGAAACGATCTGCTCACCGCGCTCGTTAGACCTACCCATATGCGCCACGGCGAGGCACAAATCCAAACTAGTAGCGGACTTTCGGGCAGTCTATCGATCGTTTCCAGACGTTTTCCGGTCCTGGGATCCTGATAGTCTCTCCAGTCTATCCAAGACCAACAAGCGGGTTGTACGGCAGACCTTATTCCTGACCAGCAATTACTTCCACAACTTGATGCTTGTGCATGCATCGGAGAGCGCAGAGGTCCCCGTCAACGTGCGAGGCACGCTTGAAGCGGCACACGAGGCCATTGCCGCCTTTTTCATGCTGTTCAACTTACTAGAGCCCGAGGCACGGGTGTGGTGGGTTTTCAACCATCGAGCGTTTCTGGAAGCTCTCTGTATTGGAAATGTTCTTCGCGAGACTTCCAAGGAGGTAGGAGGAGAGGATTTATTAGCCCGCGATCCATTGTTCGTAAGGGCAAAGTCTGATATCAGTAAGCAAACCCTTAAAGGATCACCGGAATATGAGCTAACAAGACGCAGGTCGGATGATCCAAATCATGCAGATAATGGGTGATGAGTCAGAAGTTGCGCGGACGCGGGTTCAGGTATTGAGCGAGTTTCTCAATTGAATTTTCTCTCTCTCTTTTTTTTTTTTACTTTCTTTTTTTTCATCTAAGAAGTAATAGTATTCATTGACCATAATGTAAATATATTCACGTACTTGTCATTCTAGAGAAAAAGATATCTAACTTTTGCATACCCTTGTCAATGGGATCCTGTGGGATATTGGCTCTGACTCACTGATAGTTCGACATAGGACACATCTCAGTTGGCGTCAAGATTTTCGTATGTGTCTTCTTGAACACGTTGTGCAATATCTTGGCTGAAAAGAGAAGACCAGAGGAAGAGGTCGGCCTGAGTCATTGTGATTGGTTCATGGTGTTGTTCATGGATGCAGCCAAGTGAGGTGGGGGTCAAGATGGGTCCCGAGAGGCGGGAGAGTGGAACGATCGGTGCACAGCCCCCTCCAGCTCGTGGATTGCCTGCCGCGTCCCGGTTTCATCCTTTGAAGAACAGATCGGTCTGTTGACGTGGCACGTAGGCTAGGAGCTTCGAGTATGTTTGTCGAGGGCTAGATACCGCGCTGTATTGATATCGGATACAGACTGATGCTGATGATGCGACCACCACTCTGGGGGAGTGTAGAAGCTGAAGCTACATACATTAGGTACCTGAGTAGCCTGGAGGAATTTCCACTGGCCCTAACGGCTACAAGAGGCATGGCAATTTAGTGGACGGTGCAGCGCGTTGGCGGAAACGGGGTACCTTGCCCGACGCACTGGCTCAGCCTCACAGTGATTCGTACTGCCTCCCGCTTACATGGACTCGCCGCTTACACGGGTTTCTCGCTCCCGTCGAGCTAGTTCTAGGCAGCACAATTCCTCTCTTCTCCTCTGATCGGCTCTTGACCAAGTTCCTTTCTGCCTTGCTACCTACCAGGCTCTGGCCGTTTATTGAGAGCCCACCCCGCACCCTCCGTCCCGGCCGGCCCTTTGCTCTACCTACTCTTGGCTGTGGTCACGAGCAAGGGACGCGCATCTCGTCCCGTGTACAGTTTCCTTGATTGAGGAGGCCAGCCAGGCATCCTAATAATTTTTTGTTTGTCCATACCTCTGTTTGGGTATACGTAAGGGAGTCGATTTCGAACTCGGGCGGCCTCTGCCTGAAGCCCACCACAATGCGTGGCGACGTCTCGCTCGCTGTCGCAACGGCACTATCGTTGTTTGCGCCACCAACAACGCTGGCGGCGCCCATCACCGCGCCTTTGTCTATCCCGTTCCATCTTTCATCCCGTGAGTTATAGTTCCGATCAGTGGTGGGGGGGGAGAAGCCTATTGTATCTTGTAGTGGCGGTTGTGGACTGTATTAGACCATTGTATTGACTCATGAGGATGTAGGTGGCAGCCCTGATCTGCCTGTCACTCTTTCTATTGGCGACCAACGCAAGGTTCGATTAATTCTTGGCGGCTCTTCCCTTCGTGGTTGCTTAGATTTGCTTCTTCCAAATTGAAGGCTGACATGTGTCGTTGTCTCTTTGTGTAGATCGTTTGGCCGGATGCAGCGGAGTCTGTGCAACTATGCGACCCTGACCGCGTCACAATCTCAGGCCAAGCCCTCGCTGTTGAAGCAGATGGCTTGGGAAGGGGATTACTGAAGCTCGAAGATGAATCCATTGTCTCGGCCAACTGGACCCTTAATTGTGTGGAGGAAGATGGCATATCTGTAGAGCAGACTCTCAAGCTGGAGTTTGAGAGCTTTAATGGGGAGCTCGTAAAGGAGACAACTGGGTTTGTGGCCAGTTTCGGCTTCTGGGACGGCGTTAGCCAGAAGAAGAACCAGCCCATCATCTCGACAGACACCACAGATAAGTGCCACTCCTGGAACTGTTTCTTCCATGGCATCACCGACTGCCTCAAGAACAACCTCGCCTCGTGCCTCAAGGAAAACCTCCCCTCGTGGTACCCTGATGGCTCGTCGACGGGAAGGCCTTCGTCCTCGACGACGGATGAAGCAGTCAAAGCCGATGGCAAGAAATTGTCCGTCACCAACCATCCCAGCACTACCGCAAAAGAAAAGCCCATCAAGCCATCTACAACTCAACTCAAGCCTTCATCAATCCACCCTTCACCCTCTGCTACTGACTTCACGACCCTCGTCTCCGCTATTGTGAGTATCTACATGCATGCCTCCAACTCGCCTCGGCTAACCTGAACCCCCTTTAGCCACCCCCTGACAAATCCCTTGTCCTGTCCCTCGTCATGGCAGCATTTGCCTTTGGTCTTTTCTCCCTCTTCAGCATCGGCCTTATCCACCGACGCATCGCCCCGCAGATCCGTCGTCGGCCGCGTCACCGTGAGACTCCCGAGGAGCGCCGCGCCCGTGTCGAGTCTCGCAAAACCCGTGTTCGTGCTTTCTTTCATCGTCTCTTCTGCGGCCTCTTCCGCTTCGAGGAGAAGGATGACCGGCAGCTGGAGGAGGGCCATGCGGCGCCACAGGGGAGAGATCTGAGGCGGAGCGAGTCACCCAGCTCCGACGACGAATCGATAACCATGGAACAGGAGCTGGCCAGATTCAGAGAAGCCGCCAACATGGTTAGCAGCCTCATTGCTTTCGAAGAGGGAAGAAGCGCGGCAAGCCAGCCGAGACGTGAGGACTACCCTCCCGCGCCTCCGGCCAGACCTACACCCGCACCTGTCCCTGCCCATGTGCCACCTCCAGCCCCTCGCATCAGTACCGATGACCCTTCCCTTCCCACGTATGAGAACGATACGGTAGACGGGTCAATGGTTGCAGATGGTTTCAGATATATCCCGGGCTCAGATTCTTACCCGGCTCCCACATCTGGGGTGGGATCTCAGCTGAATTCCAACAGCGATCGACTTGGTTACGGCAACAAGGACTGAACGGTTAAACTTGACATTTTTGAGATTTTTTTTTCTTGGCAGGCGTACGGTGCATCACATAATGACGGATGTTCTCCCCACATGCTAATCTGGGCTCTCGAAGGACATAAAGGCGGGTTGATATATACTTAATGATTGCTTTTCCCGAAAGCTGGGATGAAAGACGGAGGAGCTGTAGATCAGACGACACGTCGAAGATATAGCGTGATTGAATCACATTGCTTTTATTCTATGTATAAACGCATTGGATCCCACAATGAGAAAACCCGGTCATCGCAGGGTTTCCCCTTTTATCTATGATTTTTACATTATAATCTTAACCAAAGATGAAAGCTTCAAAGTTCTTCCTTATCCTCACAACTCCGTCCTCCAGACTCCAACCTTTGATCTCGCACACTTTCTGGTACATTGCCTCCAGTGCTGCGTCCATCTGCTCCCCCGCGACATGCAGGTCGCTCTCCACAAGCAGCCGGTCATCGGGCACCTCGCGAATCACCTGTATGGACTTGGCGCTGGCCGTCTCGGTGCTCAGGTTGACCGCCTCAGAGAAGGAGAAGAAGATGTCGGCGGGGATGGACGGGTGCAGCCACTGCGTGAGCACCTCGGGGGCGGCGCTGAACGAGTGAAGACATATCCTCGGCGGGAAGGGTTTTGACCATGCAGTCTTTTCCTTCTTCTTTCTGGAGTTGGAGATGTCATCACCGCTCTCCTCGTCGCTGTCCACCTCCGCGCCGGGAGCGACCAGCCGCTGCTTTCTCCGGGAGATGACCTCGCGTTCGTGGCCCTTCCAGCAGGCCGATACGGCGCTGAGGAGCACGCCGTGGGCCTGTACGCCGTGGACGCTAACCGCGCGGCCCATCTCACCCGCGAGCTGGAGCTGGGCCCGCAGGACGGCCTGCTGGTGGCTCATGGAGACGCGGTGCGGGCTGAGGAGGCGACCCTCCCTACCTCCCGGGGTGAGGGTCTCGTCTCTCGAGGCGGCGTCGGGGTCCTCCCACTCCCGCGGTATGCGGAAGGCCTTGTCGAGGCCGATCTCGCCCACGAGTGCGCTTGGGTGGGACTGGAGGAAGCTGCGTGTGGAGGAAATGAACTGGGAGATTGGTGTCGGCGTGGGCAGGGAGGCGAGGAAGTCTGGCGTGATGGTGCTGGGGGCGAGGACGGCGCTGTAGTGTTTCTGCTTTCTTTCCTCGGGGCCATCTGCTTCATCGGAGGGATAGGTTGGGCTTGAAGCCGAGTCGTCGTACAGCTGATGCGAGAACCAGGGATGCCATCCAAAGGCTGGGATAACCAGGCCATCGGCTGTGCTGGACTGTTTGGTGAGAGACTCGGAGCTGGGCACGCCTAGCTCGTTGGACACTTGGGAAACTAGGTGCTGGTCCTGGGACCGGGTGGCCATGATGGTCAGGGCTCGCGTGCGCATGCCTCTGATGGAGGCCGTGGAAGCTATCGTGTCTGTTGGATGGCAGTGGGCGTCAAAGGCGCCGAGGTGCCATGGGAAAGGGTCGGAATAGGCTGGACGGACATGTTGGCCAGGTTCCTCGTGTGATTGACACATTGTTGCGAGATGCGAGCCCTAGCCTGGACTCATCAGATTTCCCAGCGTTGCGTGTCGTTGGATGATAGATGAGGTGGACGTCATCGTTCTCTCAGGCTATAGGCTGCGAAGTTGATCGCCCCTCCCCCGCCCCGTAACTGCTTCGCTCAACCTCTCTGCTGTGTTGCCATCAAAACACACAATGTAGAAGCCACCTTCGTTTTCTCTCAATAATGTTTTTCTGGTGTCATCGTCCATCCATGGATGCATCTTCTGAGAGACTTCATCTTCGCCACCGTATCTTGGCTACCTAGCTTAGCGTAGGAGCATCTACATTCGTCTCACTCAACCAACAGGTTTTGGAGGGCTGCTGCTCGCGTTGATAAGCTAGGAGAGGAGCATTGTTCCGGATATTCAGTTTGCTCCGCGAACTGTATCGGCAACATACATCATCAATCGAAGGAGGGAGGGGGAGTGCAAGTACTAATATAACCGAATCAATATTAAAAGACACCTTCTGGATAAATTCAACTAGAACTAATTGTCAAAGCTAACGCACCACGGTCAGAGACAATGGGAATAGACTTTCGGTATGCGCAAGGCCACCATCTGTTTACATAGACAAGACCTCACTTCATTCTGGATACTCATCGAACATACCTAAGCGTTGCATACTAGCCCAGCACCTTGTTGGAGCATCTCGATACCGAGGCTGATCATCGAGCTCGGAATTGTGCAATCTGGAAGATCACGCCCGCAAAAAAAAAGCCAGCGGCACTGTGGCTGGTCTCGAATCAAGGGGACCCTGATCAACGACTAACCCCAGACTTTCGAGGTCATCCCCACACGAGCTATCCTGCAAAGCCTCCCCGCACCAGAGGAGGATGGCGTCTGCAAAGCTCCAGGCCAAGACAGCCAGTTCCTGTTGGTTTTCGTCGGCTGCGACCTCACTTGCCAATGGGGAGACATCCATCACGCCACCGACACTATTATGCTGATAGCTCCAGGCCGGATGCCTCCACACGCTCATGCAACCACACCGAGGCGCGTTGGCATGTGACAGTCGCACTATCCATCCCCGTCTCAACCCACGCCCCAAACACGACTAATTAAGCAATGGCTGGCTTCCATCTCCCATCCATCCCATCTTCCTCCAGAGTTCATCAGTGTGCAATGCCAATGGCCACGGTCCCTCCTTTGGCCAGCGCACCACACACACTCGCCATCCGACACCCTCCCTCAACCGCGAACGGCCTCCAGGACGCATCTTATTCCTCGAACAGCCTAGCTCAAGCCTGATGCTAGGTGCTACCTCGCCCTCTGTCCATATACCATACATTCATCCCACCTTAAAAGAGCAACGCCAACAGCCAGCAACCAACCCATCATCTCCCCGTGTGCTTCCTGCCAGTTCGTTTATCTGATATACCACCCCAGCCATCCATCTCAACGGGATTCGCCGTCAGCATCATCATGGTCGCTGCACGCGTGTGGTGAACAGAAGCTCGCTTATCATTGTTCATTCCTATTGTTCGACTTGTCGTTTTCGCTCGTAGACATTCCAGGTTACAAAACCGGGCACCTCCCGACTCCCCAGCACCTCTACCGGCAAGGAAAGCAACAATCACAATTAGAGGAAGGGGGCATTGATCCAAGTGACTAACCATGGGTCTATTCAATCCTGTCTATGCCCTTCTCATCCCCTCGCTGCTCTTTGTAACGATACCTCTTGCTATCCTGGCCGGTCTCACCACCACCCTCGCCTTCTCCGTCCTCATCCTCCGCGTCATCGTTGTGTATCTTGACATCGCCCTCTCCGTCCCCCAGTCCCTCGCAGGCCGAGGCACAGCCTCCTTGCAGCAGCGTCTCGCCGCCTCGAGCAACGCCACCAAGACTCTTCCTTACTCTCAATCGTCTTCTCCTCTGCGCTCTTCTATCCGCCACCGCCGTCGACGCAGTTCTGTAAGCGCACTCTCAGGAGGTTCCACGTCCTCGCTCTCCGCAAGCGAGCGCGGGCCCGGCCTGATCCCAAGTATCGGGCCTGAAAGGGAGTTTGAGGGCATAGGAGGGTGGCGGCTAAGAGATGACGATGACGACGAGCTTTGGACCACCGTCAATGCCCTCCCAGACCGGTCTCTTGGACGGCATCATGGTAGGACATCATCCACGGGTCCAACCACCCCCGGCGAGGGCGGCTATCTCATGATGAAGGGCCGCACACACAGCCCCGAAGCCAGAAAGGCGGCATCCCCCAACTGCTCCCGAGCAAGGACGCCAACCGGGCCTCGAGTTGGGTTTGCAACCACAAATCTGAATCAAAACGAAGGCGGGTACTTTGCACTGGTCCGCGCGAAGCAGTGAGGAAGCTCTACCGCGGTGTGGGCGGATGAAGAAGGCATTGGCTGGTCAGATCCCGGCTTCACGATGTATGATGAAATGATGAAAAGCCATTTGGCGTCTTGAGATTCTATGTTGTATATCTTTTTCAGAGTTGTATTTTAGCTTTAGCACATTGCACAGGTTGGCATTAGCTATAAATTTGATCATGGACTTTAACAACCATTTAATTTTAAGAACCAGCACAGATCAAGTGCCCAACGGATGCCATACTCATTACTACTCAATCATTGGTATCATAAAAGAGACAACGTCCTCCAACGCCACTAATCCAAAAAAACCGCACCAAGCAAAGTTCATAAAATCGGAAACTCAGCACCACACACACACACCCATCCGCTGCGCGCTTCTCTTACAACGTTGACCAGAAGTAATTGGCATAAAAGTACCGCGAGAACTTCTTGTCCATGTTGACCACGTGCACGTCCCCCTTGCGGTCGTTCCTCACTACCGCCTTGGACCACTCCCCGTCCCTCTCGTCGCGCTCAATATCGATCCCGAGGCTCCGGTACACCTTGAGCCGCAGGAGGACCTCGTCATCCACCGCGTCCCGCCGCCTCGCGGCCTCGTCGCCCTCGACCCCTTGCAGCTCCAGCTCCTGCAGCCGGGCGTTGAGGTCCGCGGCCTGCTGCGCCAGGCGCTCGGCCTCCATCTCCGCGTCGCTCGCGGCCTTGGCCGTCCGGAACTTCTTGGTGTCCAGCCGCGAGATCTTGGAGGCGTGGTCGGCGGACGAGTGCGCCGTCGAGAGGTCCTCGTACTGGGATGTGAAGGTGTTGAGCTGCCGGTTGAGCTTCTTGAGCGACGTCTCCTCGTCCCGGAGGTGCAGGTCCCGGGCTTGCTGAAGCGTGGACAGAGATTCGCCGATTCTCGCCACTGCGAGCCGGTCTTGGTTGATGTTGAAGTTGTCGATCGTGGCGTGGATGAGCTGTTGGAGACAAAGTCAGTTCTTAGTCGCTGGGTCTTCGGTTGCGGAGTTCCGAGTGAAACTCACAGTAGCTGGCTCCTCCTCGAGCAACATCTTGGCTAGATTTCTCTTGTTTTCTCTTCTATGTGGTTTGTCTCTTGTTCGTATGAGAATCCTTAAAGCAAGGCGGTGAATTGGTGGGATACATAGAGTGCTTGCATGGACATACATGGTTGTTGTGGTCATTCTCAGAAGGTCTCCAGGGCGACGCGTCTTATCGGGCTCTTATCAGGCAGCCGCCAAACCCACTACCCAGAACTCGGCCCCCACCCAAGCTACGGTTGGGATCGGTTAAGCCATTTGCATAGCGTCATCACACGCCACAGAAGCCTCTCGGATAGTCCAGAACGAGGCTCCATTAGCCACACAAGATTGCTTCGGCTCCCAGCATCTTCCCTCAACACGACGTAACGGCCGCCCTCTGCCCTCCCGTACCCCTCGCCCATATCCTAACTTTTTTTTTTTTATTTCGAAGCGCCAAACCGTCGGGAGAGAGCTGCTTTCTCCCCACCCCCAAATTTCACAATGGTCACCGAACTTCCATGTGAGCTCTCTCTCTCCACCTTCGGGCACCGCCCGTCATACCCACTGAAGAATATCGACTAACCTCGCAACTCTCTACAAGATGCCCTCGACGCCGAGACGTTCGTCCACACTTTCCCTCAGAACTTGGAACATGTTTTCCCCCCGGCTAACCTCTCGCTAGTCCCTTGAGTCCCTCCGAGCTCAATGTCCTCCGCGCCCAGTACGAGAAGGAAGGGGAGATGGCCGGAGTTCAGACGAAATTCAACTACGCCTGGGTACAGTTTCCTTGCCCCTCTACCCCTCTATCCAAATCCAGCACTTCGCTCTCTCCCTCTCTCTACTAACACATTGCCAAAACAGGGCCTCGTCAAGTCCAACAACCGCAACGACCAGCAGCTAGGCGTCCGCCTCCTCTCAGACATCTTCCGCCTCTCCCCCGAGCGCCGCCGCGAGTGCCTCTACTACCTCGCCCTCGGCAACTACAAGCTCGGCAACTACGCCGAGGCCCGCCGCTACAACGAGCTCCTCGTCGAGAAGGAGCCCGCCAACCTGCAGGCGGGCAACCTCCGCCAGCTCATCGACGACAAGGTCGCCAAGGAGGGGCTCATGGGCGTCGCCATCCTCAGTGGCGTCGGCATCGCCGCCGGCGTGGTGGGGGCCTTCATCCTCAGGAATGCCAGGAGGAGATGAGATATATACATACACATCACACAATAACAGAATAGCACGCAAATGATCCAAGGGATGAGAAGGAAACGAGTTTGGGGGGGTTCCAAGGTCGACGCAGAGCTGGGAATCACCTCTGAAAGCTACGATTTTTGGGTTATGGAGTACGGATTGCAGATGGGGGTAATTACACACTGGTATTAAAGCACATCACTCGCCTCGCTTGTACTATATGGGGAAATCATTTCTTCTTTCTTTGCTGCGTTAAATAGAAATAGCGACTCCTCGCGCCGATTCCTTATCAAACAATGCCCTGTGTAATCAATCAATTTGTGACCATGATCATCTATCTCATTGCTGGCGACAATGAGTGCTAGCACAGAGAAACCGATAAGCAAAGAACTAGCACATTCTTGAGACATGGAAGACGTTCAACTTAGGAAAAGAATTCACTGCGCGAGATGAGTCTGAATCTGGAAATGGTGCAAACGACAGTGGAATCAAGCTAGCTAAGGAAACAACAGAAGAGATATAAAGCAAACAAGCCGAGACATTGAAAATGACCTGTCCCAGTTACATACCGTAAAATAAAATACAACAATTTTAGTTGACAACCTTCGCCGGCTCTCTGCATGCCTCCCACCTACCGACATTGTGGCCTATCATCAACTGAGGCACACAGGAGAGCTCCCCGATGATTCGGGAGAGGGGAACAACTGGACCGACATATCGTCCGCTGATGTTTCCGGAGATGAATAAATTAAAAGGAAACAATGAACAAGTGTGTTCAACACGTGTGCAGGCGACAGATCCCTCGTCGAGTCGATTCTCGACGATGAACCCAGAAAACCCCAACCAAATCTCTCCAAAGAAACCCCTCCGCCAGAGACGCAACGAATGTCAAGATATGCTCCCAAGTTCCGAATAAAGTAAAGCAAGGGCCACCAGCGTCCCTTTCCTGACACCTTCCACGCCTGCTTCTCATTGTGGTATTTGTTTTGGAATTTCGTAGCCAACGTGCCCCGCGCACTGCATGACCAATATTCATGGAAGAAATTAGGGCACTCGCCTTACGAGACATTCTTTTTCTTTCTCGGCGATATGATTAAGTGAGACGACTTGTATGATTATAGACAAAGACGTGACAAATGAAGCCACGAGAGAGAAAAAGAGAACAGAAAGAAAGGAAGAGCGTCGAGCTAGTATTGTATGGGCATCATGGGTACTCAGGCGTAGATCGTAGAAGAAATGAGAAGGGCGGGGCAGGTCACTACGCGTGTGGCCGTTTATCGCAAGGAGAAACCCTTGCGCTTGCCCTCCTTCTCCAATGGACGTCCGCTCTCGACGCGCTGCTTCTTCTCCTCGAGTTCGGCGCGTTGGCGCTCGAGCTGCTCCTTCATTTCTCTGTGTCGGGCGTAGAGCTCCTCTTCGGACTGCTTGAGCTTGCTCTCCTTCTCCGCAACCTTCTGCTGGAAGACCATCTTCATCTCGGCCTCCATCTTGGCTAGCTTCTGCTCGTGCAGAGCGCGCTCCTCCTCCTGTTTGACAGCAGGGTTGACCTCCTTGAAAACGCTGGGGTCTTGCGACACACCCATAGCAATGAGCTTATCGGTTCTGTAGTTCTCGTACAGCAAGTTGTTGGTGTGTTCTTTGAGCTCTTCCATGTGGGTACGGATGAGCATCTGTCGGAGCTTGACAAAATCACAGTGCTCCTCGTTGTCGACCTCGATGATACCCCAGGGGTACTCACGACCACGAATTTTGCGGCCATCAGGAGTAGCAATCTCGTTGGTAGCACCAACAACAGCGAATGGGACCTTGGACATGATTTCGTTGTTCTCTGCGATCGTCTCCTCGTCGTCAAGCTCATATCGGGGGCCCTCAAAGATCTGGATGCCGTGGTACTTTATGTCGGCAAGGATCTATTGCATCATGTTAACTACTATTGACATCGATTATTTCCATTGTAGTGAACTCACTCTAGCCTTAAAGCTGAGAATCTCTTCATCTGTGAGAGTGTCTGACTTGGCGATAACGGGAATCAGGTTGACCTTGGTGTGAAGTCGGCGCATCACCTCAATATCCAAGGGCTTCAGGGAGTGGCCAGTGGGTTGGATGAAAAAGACGCAAGCGTGGATGCGGTTGTCAATGATATTGACACGGTTAACCTTGTTCTCAGCATCGAGATAGGCGTCAAAGCGCTGCTCAATGTTGTCGACAATAGGGCGCCAGGACTCATCGTTGTTGACGAAGTCACCAAAACCCGGGGTGTCGACCACGGTGAGGCGAAGGCGCACACCAGCCTCCTCAATGTCTGCGCTGATTGACTCAATGGTGACGGTCTTGGGGATAATGTCGAGGCTGGGGCCCTTGCGCTCCTTGGGAGGGTATAGGGAGGTGTTGAACAGGGTGTTAACAAGGGTGGACTTGCCAAGACCAGATTCACCTGCGAAATCAATTAGCAGCAAGAAAATTGACCATCGAGTTAGTGTACATACCAACAACCATGACGTTGAAGTTGAAACCCTTGCGAACACTCTTGCGATGCCATTGGTTGGGCAAGTTGGCAAATCCAACGTATCCAGTCAATTTGCGGCGCACGATGTTCTTGTTCTCAGTGATAGCAGAGGACGTGGGAGCAGTGAAGGTGGCTGGGTCGGCTGAAGGGACTCCTTGGACAGACTCCATGATGTCGTCGGAGTGTGGCGAGGACGGTGCCACGGCGGGAGGGGCCTCGGTAGCTAGAACTCGACATATTAGTTCAGGGCCTTTTCACACGTAGAGTCTAACACTGTTCAATTTTAGGCAGGGCAAGAGAGAGATCCTGACACGATGCATCCTGGGGCGCTTGGAGCACTGCACTGGAAGGCTCGAGATGTTGGCTCATCGCATTGTCGTCCACATTCTTTGTTGTCTGCTGGATTTCGGGTGGATAGAACTCGTCAAACGACAGAGGTTCGACGGGTTGGATCCGAGGCGATTCCTCAACCTCGAGCATACTGCGATATGTTCGGATTATCGTTGAGCCCTGAGACCTCGGCCGGGTCACATTAGGCTCCTGGTCATGGACCCCAGGCGCAGTCTCGTTGCTTTGACATGGATCGCTTTCGTTGACGTCCGCCAATGACATGAGCGCTCGCTCGTCAATGTGAGCACTCACGGGGCGCTGTTTACGATGACTCCGTAGTCCAAATGCCATCGCAAAGTCCCGACCTAGCGGAAACAGATATAACGCGCTCGTAGCGTTAAGACCCAATGCTCAGGGGTCGGCCAAGGAGGGACCGGAGGCGCTTCAGCCGAGCTCGTGTTGGATTCTTCGACGGCGAATCCTGTCCACATATCACGAGCTTGTTGCTGAAGTGACATGGACGTGTCGCCGTGGTAGATGCTCTAGCTCCCAGGAAAACGTGGCCCTCCGTAGCACGGAAAGGGGGATCACTCTTGCCCAAATACCCATCGCAGAAGTGCGTAGAAGAAAGTGTTGCCTTACCCATGTTTAATTATAAAGAGCGCTTGGTCGGTCTAAAAGAGAACGGAGGGAAAGTGCAAGATCTGGTGTTGTCAACCTATTAGCTTCTTCATCAGGTACCATCCAGGAGAACCCGCCTGGATCGATGGATAGCGAAGGAATGGTCGCTGGATTGAGAATGCCAACAGTGAAGTCCTCTGTAAAGGGAAGCTGGCAAGAGCTCGAGCGGAAGGTTCAAAGAGCTCCTCGGGTGTGGCAGATTATTGTTTGGGCGCGCGAGGTAGAATTGGCTAGTGTGGTGAATTGAACGTACCAGGAGAAAGAAACAACGACGCGTCGAGTGTTCCTCCGGGATTATCGCAGAAACAAGACGGTCACAAAAGAATCGACGGTAGCCCTTGAGGTGGCGCAAGGTCAGTCGGGGTGAAAGGAAGCAGCAACGATGGAGAAACGACGGGCGAGAATCAGAAAAGTGAAGTCAGGTGTGAAGGTCGAAAGGTAGGTAGGGGGTGGGTTGTCAGGCACGGGAAGTAGTAGGCGGCAGGGGATGGGGAAATTTTACTGCTGAGGTGGTCGGAAGCTGGCAGCTTGCACGCAACTAAGGTACCCTAGGCCATTACCCATACAAGAGGTAAGGGAGGTAGGTACACGTCCACTTAGGTGCTACCTGGTAATTTCACTATTACAGTGCTTAAGTTGGCTGGGATGATCCCAAAACCCCTTTCCCCCTGGCAGGACCTTCCTGCTGGACTCCTCCACTGGACGGCCCCTTTTGATCAGCCTGCTCTGGTTCTCTCCCTGAATCTCGGCTGCCCAGGTGCTAGTCGTACCCTGGCGCCACTGAATGACTGCTGGATCGCCTTTAATGATGGTGGAAGTACATAAAAGGGGTTCGACAACGCTAAGCCCAGAGTGGCTAGATGACCATATCAGGGGAAGACCTAGCCCAAGCTTGGGGAGGACCATTATTTATCTTAGAATGTCTGGGTTCATGAAGTTTGATGGCAAAGCTCTACATCATGCCGAAGGCCTGGGTGATGAGAAGAGCAGCTAGCGACCTGACAGCACGGCTATCCTGATTACTAGTGATATTCTGAACGTTGGCGCCGGTAAGGACGGGACAGCGACACATGACGGGCATCCCTTATCCATCGAGCTATGCGCTATGCGCCGCTCCTCGCGTCCCAAGTCCATTGGAATCCAAGGGACGTGTTTCCTCCAAGGAGGATTGGCACTCGTCCCAGTTTTCTATGCATGGCTCCCTGCCGCCGTTGAATTAAACCGCACAATCTTCACCAATGGACGAGCTGCGTCAATGTCTAGCAAGGTCGCACACCACAAGTCCCAAATATGAACGCACCATCCAAACCCAATATGGTATGAAAAGTACCGCTGCATACATTTCGTGAGCAAAGCGACTCTGCCAGAATTGCTCATGCATTGTTTTTTTATGTGTCCAAATTATGATGTTTTGCGCACGTATTAAACCCTCTTCTCAATGATTAGAGCAGTTAGATCATGTCGCAACAGCCGCGAGCCGCTGACGGTGGCGAATGCGTGGCGTTTCGAGCCAAATTCCTTTTTGTGTCACTTTAACTCGAGAATTAGACCACCCGAAGCGAGTCTTGACGGATTGACTATGGCTGCCGTGTGTATACTAAAATTATGCGTGCGAGGCTAAGTCCCACAACGTAGGTAGAGACCTACGTATGATCAGCAATGGCTGCGGCATTCTGTAGTCGGTAGCCCTACCTGACGGTTGGGCTATGAACCGGCAATTTGGTCTCAGCACGCGCAACGTCACCCGCCATTCCGGCAAGTGCGTGATGTCTCATGGACAAGTACATACGAGGTAGATAAGCATACTGATTGCTTCTTATTGGGGAGGCTGGAGTTGAGCAGCGCATTGTGGGGCTTTTATACGAAACAGACTCGTATTAATGTCTATCTGCTGGACAAGTTGCATGGTACCGTTTTTACCGTCATAGAAATGTTACAAAGAAATCCTAGACCCGAGTATTAAATCATAGCGTCGGCTCCTCGGTCGTCTTTGGCGCGCGCAATGGTCAATCCGGTAGGTTCCCGTTGTCCACAGAGTGGTATCATTGTAAATGTTACATATTGGTGCTACAATTTCCACAGCCGGGTGAAATGAAAAAAAAACAGCTTCTTTTACGCTATTTGAGAGAACACCTTCTCCTGCTGGCCAGCAAAAAATTTCTTAGTCTCGGAGCATCTTTCGCTCTTGCAAGCAGGACATCGGAGGCCTAGTTGCTGAGAGGTGGCCGATCCGGTGCTTAAGTGCTCCTTCGCAACATCTGCTAAAGCCTGGATGAACACAGGACTTCCATTCAGGCTCTCTGCCCGCTTCACCGTATCTGTATGACCACACTCCCCGATGACCTCCAGGTCAAGTTCGTATAGTGTTTCAATGTGGTCAGATGTGAAGGCGATAGGAATGAGGACCAAGTCTTTCTGTCCCTTCTTGATATAGTCCTCCACGGTATTCGAGGTTTGCGGGCCGAGCCATGCCGAGGGCCCAACTTGTGATTGCCAACAGAGTCTGTAAGGATTCGAAAACTTGAGCCGCTGCATCACAGCATACACTGTTGCTGCTACCTCGGCAGGGTAAGGGTCACCTATAGGCAGATTAGTGGAAAATCTCATAAGCAGCGTGGGGAGATTATGTACCTCGATTGACAACAGACATCGGTAGGCTGTGCGCAGAGAAAAGCAAGACGACATCCTTCCGTCGCTCTTCTGGATATTCGGCCAACTTGGCCTCGATGTTTTGAGCAAAAGCCTCCACCAATCCATGGTGAGCCGGCCATCGATCGATCACACTCCAGTTGATAGTGCCATCATTGATGCCAGCGCTCTTTCCTTCAAGCCGGTGCCTCCATTTCCACAGCTCATTTAAACTGCTGCCAGTCGTAGAGCATGAGTATTGGGGATACTGAGTAAAGGCAACAGCCCGTCCACCTTTCCCATTGCCAAAGCCATCCGCAAGCAGCTGGCTATACATTTCCTCCGTCAATGGGTTTGCGTAGCGGAAGGCCACATAGGGTTTATGTGGCGCTGTCTCCGGAGATATCTTGTCGAGAATTTTACACATCTCAGCATTCTGATACTCCGACCACTTGCGAATTGGTGAACCGCCACCAATCTCGGCATATTGCTTCTCGATCTTCGGCGTTCGGCGTTTGGAGAGTAGAGGGCCAATATAGGATTGAAGTCTTCCCAAGGGTATCAGGTCGCCATCCGACTGTATTCCGGCATTAGCAGTTGGCTGCAGGGTGTGCAGAGGGACATGTAGCATACAAAAAGCCGGCTCAGAAAATCACCGACTTCGTCCGTTGTGGAGGGACCACCCATGTTCAGGAAGACCATAGCTGTCGGGCCCTTTGAACCGGTCGCATCCTGCGTGACTGGCGGCACTGGCGTTGCGAGATACCGTCTTTGTCCGAATTGTGGTAGGAGGTGAGCAGAGGGGCTTGAGCAAGCACGTCTGGATACCCGGTTCAAGGATAATCTGATAGACATGGTGAAATGAATTGGCGGATCGCTCAGCTGGGCGAATCGCAAGGGCTCAACAACTTTTTAGAGAAAACACAGCGGATTATCAGGCATAAAAGTTTTTCAATGAAAGAAATAAAATTAGACAAAATTAGGCGGATAGACCGTCAGAATGTATGGAGACAATTGTACAAAGCAGCTTTTTCGATGACCTCTGTGAATTGGGATTCGAAATCACCGAGGCCTGCTCCCAAGATCGGATTGCAGATCGCCGTGGAGCATCATTGTTAGAGGGGTACCTATATTCCGCACTAGCATCAACGGCAATACAGGTACTGTGTATCACAGCCCATTGCCCAATGAAGCACCTGGAAATGTCATCTTAGCTTTGTTCACGTGATCTCGCGCACTCCTTCGCGGACCCTTGTCCTACATCTGGCGCGACCGCGTTTGCCTGGAATATGCTCCACCTTGACTGCCTAGAGTGAGGTGAGAACTGACATTATAACGCCAAACTACCGCTGCCAATTCGAGTGAAGCTTCCAAATCCCTTTTTCAACTCGATTTAATTATACGGAAAGTAGCGCCATAATCATTATGTCGGGTGGAGATCACGGTTGGAAACGAGAGGAGGAGGATGAGGCGGATCAGGAGATTGACGAGACTGTACGTTACCATACTAACCTGTTGAGCCAAGCGGGCCACTGACATCGAGTAGAGCTATAAGACGCAAAAGGATGCTATCCTATTAGCAATTGAGGTCAGCGAGTCAATGCTGGAAGCACCTCCAGCATCTAGTTCTAAAAAGGCAGATCGCGATAGCCCAGTTCAGGCTGCGTTAAAGTGTGCTTATCACCTAATGGAACAACGCATCATCTCTAACCCCAAAGACATGATGGGCATCCTTCTATTTGGAACCGAGAAGTCCAAATTCCAGGATGACAATGATGGTCGAAAAGGGCTGGGTTACCCACACTGTTATTTATTCACTGACTTGGACGTTCCTGCTGCCGAGGATGTGAATAAATTGAAAACACTGGCCGAGGACGGTGAAGATGAAGACGAAGTGCTGAAACCGACATCCGAAACTGTTTCAATGTCAAATGTGTTCTTCTGCGCCAATCAAATATTCACTACGAAGGCCGCCAATTTCGGGAGTCGCCGACTCTTCATTGTCACTGACAACGACTCACCGCATTCATCAGATAAGGCTGCTAGGTCTGCTGCAGCTGTGCGAGCGAAAGATTTGTATGATCTTGGTATTACAATCGAGCTATTTCCTATCACCCGGGGTGATGAGCCATTTCAAGTTGGGAACTTTTATGAGGTCCGTTTTAGCTCAAACTGGGTTTCATTCCAGCACTAACTAAAATCCATGTAACAGGACATCATATATCATGAGAATTTCGGAGAAGCCAACTCCACAGACGTCCGTTCATCAAAATCTGGGGACGGGTTGACTTTGCTCAACTCGCTCATCGCAAACATAAACTCGAAGCAATCCGCCAAAAGGGCACTATTCTCGAATGTACCTTTTGAAATTGCCCCAGGGCTCAAAATTTCTGTCAAGGGATACAATATCGTTCATCGACAGACCCCTGCCAGGACTTGCTATATTTGGCTTGACGGCGAGAAACCCCAAATCGCTATCGGGGAGACCACGCGAGTTGCAGAAGACAGCACCAGGAATGTGGAAAAGCAAGAAATCAAAAAAGCTTATAAATTTGGTGGCGAGTATGTTTACTTTACCCCTGACGAACAGAAAAGTTTGAGAGATTTCGGCTCTCCCACGATCCGTATACTGGGATTCAAGCCCCGAAAAGCTATACCCATATGGGCGAGTGTGAAGAAAGCTACTTTCATATTTCCAAGCGAAGAGGATTACGTTGGATCAACTCGCGTTTATTCGGCCTTGTGGCAGAAACTCCTCAAGGACGACAAAGTAGGAATTGCTTGGTGTATTACCCGCTCAAACGCTCAACCTATTCTTGCAGCCATCATACCATCGAAGGAGCAGTCTGATGACGATTCAGGCACCCCGTACCTACCTTCAGGACTGTGGATATACCCGCTGCCTTTCACGGATGACATAAGGGAGATTAAAGCTCCAGGCGAGCTTGCCAGGAGTTCGGATGATCTCACGACTCAGATGAGAACTATCATCCAACAGCTTCAGCTGCCGAAGGCTATGTTTAACCCTAAAAAATATCCAAATCCGTCTCTACAATGGCACTACAGAATTCTCCAGGCACTCGCGCTCGAGGATGAGGTGCCAGAAAAGGTCGAGGATGCAACAGAGCCCAAGTACAAGGCTATAAGCAAACGCGCCGGTGGTTACCTTGAAGATTGGTGGGAAACACTAGAGAAGGAGGCTGGCAACGCCAAGCAAGCCAAGGCACTCAAGAGAGATCCCGATGAGGCTCTTCCCGAGCGGCCAGCCAAACGAAGTCGTGCAGGGTCTGAGAAACCCAGTGGATCTAGTCTCAGTCAAGCGCAGCTCAAGTCTGCAGTCGAAAACGGGACCCTCGCTAAGATGACGGTGGCGCAGTTGAAGGACGTACTTGGTGCCAAGGGGCTGAGTACATCAGGGAAAAAGGCAGATCTTGTTGAGCGCATAGAGGAGTGGGCGGAGCAGGGTGTGTAGGTGCTGGCTACCCGCTCCTTATTTATGTCATTGATGAACTCATTCTTTTCTGTTTGTATGATATACGTCGCTTAAGACATGCCTGTAATAGTATTGCCAATGCCTTAATCCGGTTTGCGGGAGCCAGGTCATTTTGATCGTGCTGATATGATTAGCCTTGGCCTATGCTCCTACCTAGTTAGCTTTGAGCAGGCATGTTGGAAGTGATCTCAACAAGTTTGACGAAATGCCGTGAATTGGCAAGCAAACATCCTGTTCTGCTCTTCGACTGGGCTTGCGATTTTATATTGCCTTGACGGGGGGAAATAAGCTACGCCGAATTGCTGGTATCTTAGAGCCCTTCTCAAACGTGGTCGTCGGTTCAGGTGCAAGGGCTCTGATACGAAGAATCAGTCGGGCAGTAAACTGGTCAGATCATTAATCAACCTGGAATACAATCATAGTTCAATGAAACCATCGAGCGATATACCAACCATATTGCTATTTATTGTATAAAGTTATATAGTGAATACTTTAACTGAAACTTGCGTTCGTGATTCCAACGGCTCATTAGGGAGCAAAGCTCTAGGGTAGCGACAGAGAGCGACAGGCGCAAACCTCCCCACGATGGACGATACACGTGACCAGGCGCCACCAAAGCACCCTGTAGGCTCACCAACTGACGAGAAGGTCAGGAAGACCAGTCGCGCTTGCCACAAAGCGCAGCATCCCAAGTCGGACGTCGCACAATCCTTTCATGACGGAGAAGGATTGGACGTCCAGCGCCTACACGTTCGGAGAAGACGCGTTTAGACGACGTAGCAGGCCTTGACCTGTTGCAGCGATGGCTGACTTCCTCGCCAGCTTCAACTTCGGCCAGGCCGTACCAACTGCAGCCGACGACTCCGCATGCCATTCCATTGACGACATCCAGGCGCATCTGCGCAACACATTCGAAGCGAAGGTCACACCCACCAGGGCTGAGCATATATCCCTAAGCCTTGAGCTGCGAGGCTCGTCGAGCATTACACTTCCCCAGATCGAAAATGATAGCCTTGATGGCGCCAGCGAGCGCCCAGTGGAAGGGCAACCGGAACGACCTATGCGCGTAGTGTCCGTGAACGATGCGCTGGCTAGACAAACAGACGACCCCCTCTTACAGCGCACCATTGCGAAGCACATCCTGCGCGCGGTGGGGGACGTCGATAACAGTAACTGGATAGTACGGGACATGTCAAGGGCCTCTCAAGGCTGGTCATTCACCTATATCTGTAAAGGCTCACATCAATTTTGGAACCGGCAAAATACCAAGAACCCTCCAGCGTCCTTGATCGGGGAGTTTAGTTTGCGAGAACCTGACCCCGTATTGATCGGTAGGTCGCAGCATTCATAGGCCCACCGTTGAGAATTCTATTCTAACCACCCCAATGTAGGGCGTCCTGCATTTGATTGTCGTGGATCCGTCTTGGTCGCATTCGAAAGGAGCAGCCGGTCCATAACAATTCGATATGAGCACACGCCTATACACCGTACAGTCGCACAGTTGAAGGAGTTGTATCCACCACCGGCGCGGGAGCTCGGTGCCGGGGCCCAGCGTCAACTTCAGCAAAAGACACCTGTGAAGTCAAAGAAATCGAGGAATAAGAGCAACGAAAGTACGGAACAGGGTGAGGGCCAAAGTCGGCCTAAGAAGAAACGGAAAGCAGACACCGGCGAAGAGGGCGAGGCTGGCAGTCGGCCCAAAAAGCCGAGGAAGAGGAAGAAGAACCAGGCGGAAGATGTTGCTCCCCAGCAGCTTCAACAAGAGCTGGCCCATGACCCCGGCCAAGAAACTTCCCAAGGCCAATCAAACATGGAACCGGCAACCAATGTCGGACTGCCTAGCCAGCCTTCGAATCAACCTCAACCCTCCTCACATCTTCACCCAGTAAATGTCGATGCCGCTGAAGCAACGCGTCGCTTAGCTCATGCGACAAAGTTGCTGGAAGATGCTGGAATTGATCCAAACACACTATCTTCCGACCAGATGCACATATTTTCTAACCAACTTCCCGAGCTACAAAGAGACTCACTTGCCTTGCTTTCCAAGTATGGTGCGCAGCACATTGTCATTGTTCCTCCGAAGGACAAGCCTGGAGCTGCTCCTCGGAGCCAGTCATCAACCCCGGTTCAGACACAACAAGCCCCTCCTCCTGCTGCGGCAACCACTACGCAGGCTGCGACAAAAGACGCCCGTGCGGGTGCAACTGCAAAGGATGGTGCACAACCTTCATCTGAGCAGGCATTATTGGAGGCTGCTGCAAGTGCTCTTAGCACAGTCGCTCAAAGTTCAAAGAAGAAGGGCAAACGACCTCTCGGAAAGTCACGACTCGCGTGTTCGTGTTGCAAAAATCGCAAGGTCAAGGTAAGAACAATCTTATGATACACGCCCTGAACCAAGTTTCTTTCAATCTGACTGATTTTGAAATAGTGTCCCAAGGAGAGGCCAATTTGCTCTGAATGCCAAACTCATAGCTTGGTCTGCGAGTATCCTCCCACAAAACCAAGAAAACAGAAGACACTTTCTGAGCCGGTTGTTATTGACGACGACGAAGGAGATGATGAAGAAGGTGAAGAAGAAGAACAGGAGGAAGAAGCCCCTGATGAAGATGAGGATCAAAGCACATATTATACCGGCGTGACACAACAACCGTCGAACTCACACGCTGTCCACACCGAAGAGCAAGACACATCTTATTCACAGATGCCTGTGGCAGATATGCTGAGGCCCATCGCCCAGCATAATGCGTCGGAAACATACCCAGCACAAACCACTTACTACCAGCCAACTACAGTCGCAGCGGAACCACCAGCCGAGCCGAGTCAAGCTCGGTATTCAACCTCGAAAGCACCTCAATCTGCCACAGCACATTCTTCATGGAGTAGACCTGAGATTCAGACTAATCATACTCATGTGTCCCATACATCTAATGTTTCCGCCAATTCTACGCAAGGTGGACAGATACCAAAGCCGACAGGAAGCATATCTCCGAACCGAAGCAGGCGAAACGCCAAGGAGCTGACTCCCCAGGGTCGATGGAAACTTCCCGATTCTAAACCCAAACCTACCACTTCAGGGTGGGGGAATGCTGCTGCTACTCACGCCTCTACTCATTCTGGTAATCACTCTGGTACTCATTCAGGTACTCACTCTGGTAATCTCTCCGGCACTCACTCCAGTACCCACTCTGGGACTCTCTCCGGCACTCAGCCTGCCACCTACTCCCATTCTCACACTCAACCTGGCACTTCTGCGACAAGTTGGATGGGCGACCAAGAGGCGGGGTCTTTTAACATGACCGCCAATGAGCGAACCACTCAGGGTACTGGGCTATATTCTCACCAAGCCCCTGTCACTTCCTCTCATTTTCAAAACAGCACATTCCAAACTTCGAATGACAATACCTATTGGCCGCACTCTACCCAGGCTTCAGTTATGCACCAGACTCAGCCTGCAAGGCAGTCACCCAGCATGACAGCGGTAATGCACGCCCACAACCGCACCTCGCCGTTTCAGGGAATAAACTCACAACAGCGGACCGCCTCAAATCAAAACCACCAGTCACAGACTTGGGCAGCAGCGAATACGCAGGGAAGGGACGCATCTTTGTCTGCCGTTCCTCGGGCCACGGACACGTACCATCAAAATTACTATGGTGCACTGGACATGAATCGTACAAATAGATATACATAGTCAACACATAACTTCAAATCCTCGCGATAATGAGCGAGGCAGATTAGAGGTGACGATGTTTTGACAGAAGAAAGTCACACGGCTTTCGAATACTGATGTTAATAGCAATGCTTTTTGTGAAAGCATGACGATATTTTGGAAGTTTAGCGAAGAAAGAGACCGAAGATCTGGCGTTGTCTTCTTTCTGTTACGCAGATATTTAGTTCTTTAACGAATCTTGAGTATGGAGCTTCAGGATTAGAAGCTCTACTACGAACTGGCCTCGGATCGGGCTTTTGGTGTGGACTTGGTGAAATTAACGAGAGAGGCAACGATAGAATTGTCCATGAAGAAGATACCCCTTGCACTGGCTGCAGATAACAAGTAATTGAATTTCATTCCAGAAGAGTTTGTCTCCCTTTCGCCGTTCATTCTTAACCTTTCTCCCCATCTATTATCCTCCTCCCTATTATCATATGTTCTCGTTGTCTCATAAGTTTACCTGCGTACATGCCTACTCCTTATTTCTCTGGAGTGAATCCCGCTTGTGGCCAGTACTTACCACTTCCATATTCCAAGACTAGAAAGTAGGCGTCGTAGAAATGGCGAATTTACTGAGCGACCGAAGCTTGGCGCCGTAAAAGTACAGCAGCCAGATACCAATGATACCAATGACGCTCAGCCCGCCGAGCAGACTGGTGCCCCTGGCCACGCCGAGGTTGCCGAAGAGCGGGTGGGCGAACAGGACGCTCCCGCAGGCGAGGGCGCTGCGGAAGAAGTCGTTTGCGGCGAAGAGGCTGGCGGCGTACATGGGGTAGGACAAGGGGATGTAGATGAAGATGCACTGCATGACGACGAAGACGGTCCCTCCGTAGATGGTGATGCCGATGGTGGGGACGATCCAGTGGATGGAGGCGCGGGCGGTCCAGGCGAAGAGGAAGAGCCCTACCGTAGGTCCCACGGAGGCCGGGAGGGCGGGGATGAGGCGGTCCTCCTGCTTGCCCATGCCGTACTTTGCGGTCCGGGGGTCCTGGACGAAGTAGAGGTAGGCGACGTAGCTGGCGACGCCGAGGAGGCAGGAGACGAGGACGCAGAGGAAGACGAGGCCGATCTGGCCGAGGTTCATGCCGTAGTAGACGGGGTAGACGAGGGGGAAGACCTCGAAGACTGGGATGGGTTAGCTTGTGTTTCTTCGACTTGTGTCTGAGGGAAGGGCAGTACGTACAGGAATAGTAGATGCCGTAGATGATGGCCGTGTAGACCTGGACGAACATGACTGCAGGGTCCTTGATGGTGATCTCGAGGGGCTTGATGAGCGCATCGAGAAAGACATGGGAGAACTTCATGTTTCGCTGGTCAATCTCGCTCTGCGACATGAAGCGCTCGTTACCGGTGAGCTTGCGGATCCGCTGGGCTCGGCGCAGCAGGATGTTGGGCGAGCTGGTCTCGGGGAGGAAGAGGAACATTGCGATGCCGACGGGAGCAGAAGCCCAGATGGATTCGTAGAGTGACCAGCGCCAGCCCATGACTGGCACCGAGAAGCCGCTCAGAAGGGGACCCAGTGCGGCTAAAGAGACGTGTTAGAAATGGCATTTTGAGAGATTCAGGGTCAAGTGACACTTACGTCCGCAGTATGCTGCAGATACCCAAGCCATCATGGCGTAAGGCAGAGCGCGGAAGCTATAGATATCGCCCAGAGAAGCACCACCTGATGCCAAGCAGGGGGAACCGAAGAATCCTGTGAGGAACCGCAGCACCACCAGGCCCGGGAAGTTGCCTACAAAGGCGGTGGGGATCGAGAGGATGACGAAGAGGAACATGGTTACGATGTACACTGGGTTGCGGCCGATGCGTGGGATTTCACTCAAGGGGGAGAAGAGGAGAGGGCCAACACCGTAGCCCAAGACGTACAATGCAAGACCCAGTGTGGCCACGATCGAACTCACGCCAAATTGCTTCATGATGCCTTCCGTGGAGGGCACATAGATGGCAGAAGTTGTGTATACGACAAATGTGTAGAGGCAAATGATCAGAGTGGTCACCAATCGTTTCTTGATGGTCCAGTTGTGTGGGTTTTCTGGATCATCGGTGTAGTACCAGTCGACTAGGATTGCTCCATCTTTGGTTCTTCGGGGAACAATCGGTATGGACTTGGTTCTCTGAATGGCCATGTTGTTGTTCTCTTCGTCATTATGAGCCTGCTCGATCTGGATATCCTCCATACTATCTCTTGGAGGGGGTGATGGCTTCTCGTCATCTGCTGTGCTTCTCCGAGGTTGCTTACCCTCGCCATTGAGAACTGTTGAGCCGGACTCGGAAGCGGTGGTTGCGTCAGGGGCGATTTTGGCGGATGGAGATTCCAGATCGTGAACCATTTGAATCCAAGCGTCTGGCAGTTTGAAGCCCTCCTTCTCCTCTGGATACTTGAGGTATCGGCCCCGACTTAGGAAACGAATGACCTGCCCGATTGAGGCATCCCGTATAAGGTCGGACATTGTTTCGACGAGATCTTGTATGTATCTTTATTCTAATGTGACTTTATCGTGCTGATACTTGGGGCAGTGATTGTTGATATATATTGAGGAAGGAGATAGTTAAGTTGATATGCCTCCTGTTAGCTCCTTTGCTCGAGGGAGAAAATCTAATGAGGCCTGTAAGTCGATTGCTATTCAAGCTTTGACTGACAAGCAGACGAGATAGCAGAGGTGCTAGGCCATGCTTCCTTATATAACTGGATCGCTCACCACGTAATGGCTCCGTGCAGATTCCCCCATCCCCATTCCCATGTGCTTGACAAGCATCATTACGCCCGCTTCCAACCCATTCGGAGTTAACGGCTCGCCCCATCTAGAACCTACGGCTGCTTGGGCTTTGAAAGCACGGAAGGTCTCATCGCCGAAGAATTGATTACACCAAGAGAGCAGGCCGGCTGTCGCAAGCTTCACGCCGTTTTAGCTCCCGGGGGCACCTTTGACGATCAGCTTACCAATCCCTGCACGAGGAAGCTCCTTTGTCAACACCAATTCGGAAGCCCTGCCTAAATCTGCAGACGCTTGTCTCGACTTGACGTGGCCTGCGAGATGAGCGGCTAGGCGCTAGGGCTGACGAATGCCTTGCAGCCTTGGCGCTGGTTGGTTGAGATAGAGTTAAAGTAAGGCATCACGCCTTGTGGCTGGACCAGTCCTTCGGGTGAGATGCCGCCCAAGGGTCTCCTCCATGTCGATTGCGTCAGACGGAGATTCTGGGATAAGCACTTGGTCTAACATCGCTCGTTCCAGAGTCTGATTGGTCTCTGTGCCTCTTGGACCGTGAACGGGCTGCTACTGCTGACAATTATCTGTATCTAGGTAGGTATTTGGCCCGAATTCATTAAACACCACCAGAATTGATAAGAAGCTGGAGCGGTCTGACCCACTTGGGACGAGGTTTTGCGCTTAGAAATCAGACCTGTTATGTAAACTTCCCTTTCCTGGAAACAATGAGACGAATGATTTGATTGCATTGTATTTTGGAAATGCTTGGCTCTCGTCTAACACAGCCAAGAATCCATTGGGGACCTGTTATGCATATCTGTTATGTACATGTTAGATCCCACATCGATGCCGGGATGTTTGCCACTAGATCTCAGAGACACAGTCATAGCATGGCCGGACGTTCCGGGGCAGCTGTCGATCTGGATAGTTTCATCATCTGCCGCCGACGTAACACCATGGGTAGCTCCTAGCTTCCTGGATACCGGGGATATGGCTCGGCCTTATGATTGTGCGAGGGCCGAGTCAGATGCGAGAACCGACCTCAGATTGAGATGAGATGTGAGATGTGACGATAAGATGGAGTCCATGGACTAGCGACAACCGGCCCTAGGAGGTGCGATGCGATGAGGTAAGCTGGAATTGCACGGTGTTGACTCATCGGCCAATTGCTGACCTCGTATCCTGTCGCTCGTCCCATTTCCTCTTCATGCTCCTCAGGCGTATCACTCTTTGGACGATCTCAAGGGCATCCTGGTTCTTCGCCTCCTCCAGCTTGTCCATCATTTCCCACACACGCGTATCTTCTTTTGCGACTGCTTCCTGCGCAAGGAGCCTTAGCCAGGGGTACTCTTCCGTTCTCCGAGCATCGAGTGCCTGGAGGGCATAACTCATGGCCATGTCCAGCTCGCCTAGTTCCAAGCATTTCGCAATTATTTGGTTATTGACTTGCTCTAGTCTCAGTGGTGGATCTCCGTTACCATGGAACCTTTTCTTGTAGCTGTCTAGCAGGGTTCGTGTAGTGGCTGTGCTCCGGCTGTTGACAATCATGTTTTGCATGGTAAAGACGTCAGGGGGCTCTCCAGTTAGAGAATCGATATCCTGGTAGAGCTCCATGGCAGCCTCGCTCCCCTGGAGGTTACTAACAACCTCGACCAGGACGGCAACTATGGCGGGTGGGACTTGGCTGTCCTTGGCCGTCGCCCTAACCGCGGCTTCTAGTTCGCTTATGAGGCTCGCATCCTTGAGTAGAAGTTGGACGAGCCCTCTTGTTCCTCCCCGCGACAAGGGCACGCCGTCGCGGTGCATGATGTTGAAAATGGAGAGCGTCGAGGCCATATTTCCATCATTCATAAATGCCTCCGCCAAAGCTTCGTAGTGATGAATTTGGACTTTGCGGCGGCTTGATATTATGCCGTATACCTCAGTAGCAAGATCGACATCTCCTTGCTTCGCCGCTGTGGCCAAAACATTCTCCAGCACGCCGTCGGGTGCCTGGAGGTCTCCGGTGCGGAACGCGGAGTTCCAAGCGAAGACTGTTCCCTGATAATGGAAGACCTGGCTGCAGGTATCGAGGATAAAATAAAGCAGGTTAGAAATGGCGGCATCGGACCCTTTGGCGTGCTTGCGCCGAAGAAATAGCTGCAGCATCTCGTCCAGAAAGCCCTGCTGTCCAAAGACAAGGATAAAAATATCGAAAACCCAAAGGGTCACATGGACTTTACTTTCAACCATCTGAAATAACTTCTCATAGGCCAATTCGTACTGCTTGTCGCGAAGCAACCCCAAGAGAATATGCTCATTCGCGTGTTGGTCTCTGCTGAACCAATGCTCTTGCATAATGGAGATGACTTGTTCGCGTAGTGTATAATCGGGATGGACGGCCAATGCGACCAGCGCACTCTTGCAAATCGTCTCCGTAGGCTGGATGCCCTCGTTCTCCATATCCCAGAATAGCGAGTGCACGCCTGATGCTGAGCCTTGAGGATCGGCCATGGCGTCCATCATACATTCGTAGATGAATGATGAGAGGCGAACCTTCCGTTTTTGAATTAGATATTCAACAAGCTGCAATATTCTCTGATGGCGATCGATATCTCCCTTGGGCAACTTGGATCCTTCGGGGTCCCGTATCAGAGCCAGCGCCTCGTTAATCGATGAAGTTGGCACCTTTTCGAGCTGTTTCTCGGTTGGCGGGCGTGGTGCGAGGATAGCTTCTAGAGCTTGTCTATCATCTCCCTTGGTTGTCGTTACAAGCGGGATGTCCCCGGAGACTGAAACAGCCGTGGCTGTCCCTAATAGACGTCTTTGGCTCCATCTCGGTTGGGGTATTGGCTTCGATGGCCGTGCGCGAATCTGGGTGAAGGCGACAGCGGAAGGTTTAACAGTCGCTCGACGGGTCGTTTCCTTGAATGCTGAGCAGAGGCAACGGCAAAGGCCGCCATTGGCCGACCGAGGGCGCGACATATCCCTTGTCTTTGTCTGGCTTGAGCGGGCATCACGCTCTGGTTCAAAGATCTCTAACAGCTTTTCAGGAACTGTAGCGGAAGCTTTCCGACGACTATCGCGGTGACACATTCTTCAATCCGAATGATGCACCAAAACAGTAATATCGCAGTACCAGAGCGCTGAAACACAGCATCATCTGAGCAACCCGACCTACCTTGAAAGAGGATTTCCTAAATGAAAGAATGAGTAGTTGTAAATAGTTTGTTGTATGGTTCTCAGAAAATTTATAGCAATTTTAAATCTCCGGCGTGGCTTTCTGTGATGGTTTTGCATTGTCCTTGGAGGTTCGAGCTGAATAGCGGAGCTCAATTTAGAATCGCCCGTATGTCTGTTGGAAACCATTGGATAGGAAGAACAAGTAAGTCACATCAGATAAAATGCTTTCTGTAATTCGACGTATCTCAGGACGTAGAAAGCATAATGTTGCTGAGAAGGAAGATGTAAGGCGGAAGGCTTCCGCTCCATATTGGAGGGGTTACCCCTCAATCGGGGACTTGCAACTATCGGATTCTTATGCAACCCACCATCGACCACCAGCTTCGAGGGAAGCCGCCCAGCGCGCAAGCTCCCAACCCAACAGTATCTAGAGCCCGCCGAGACACATTCAACCCCCTCCATAGGCGGGGAAACAAAACGAATATGGTGCGCAGAAGACACATCTACACTCTCCCACCTTTTCAAATCCGCAAAAGCGCTGACCACGACACAGTTACCTCTCGGTCTACTCAACGCCGCGCAGGGCCACCCCATGCTTGTCGAGCTGAAGAACGGCGAGACCCTCAACGGACACCTCGTCAACTGCGACACGTGGATGAACCTCACATTGAAGGAGGTCGTACAAACGAGCCCGGTAAGCTAAGGGCACTCCTCCAGGGCAACAGCGATCTGGATACTGATCACGTCGGAATGATTCTAGGAAGGCGACAAGTTCGTGCGATTACCCGAGGTCTACGTGAAAGGAAACAACGTACGTCGCCAACCCATTTACTTGCCAACCTCGAATACGGTTTGCTCCGGTGTGATCAGACATTTACTGACGATGCGAGGCGTGCGCAGATCAAATATCTTCGAGTCCCCGATGAGATCATCGATATCGTCAGCGAGCAGCAAAAGGGCCAGCAGAGCAGCTTCAGAGGCGGACGAGGTGGACATTCAAGGGGCGATCACCACTCTGGGCGTGGCGGAGACCGAGGAAGAGGACGTGGCGGCGGAAGGGGCCGTGGTGGAAGAGGAGGCCGAGGCCAATAAACGTCCCAAGGGAATCACATCGACTTGGATGGCTGGAGTTTTCGGTTCCAAACTGATAGAACCAATTATTTATAGCAAAAAAGGGGTGAGGTCCGTGTATGGCCTTGCATAGATAATGAGTAACCCTCAATGATATTATTGATACCCAAGACTGTGACGAGCGACGGATATCGAAATTGGCTACCTACCCTAAGAAACAAGGACACGGTTTGTCTTGAGCAATGAAGAAATAACTGTAGGTCAAGAGAACCTAGAAAACAATTCTGGCATCTAAATACAGGGCAGAAAACCCAAGTTTGAGCATAGGACGGAATGCGAGAATCAATCAAAGCCTGGATCGCCAGCGAACGATAAGCTACGAAATACGTCTTATACGCATTACATTTGTTACCTACGTGGCTTGAGAAGGCTAGAGAAATGTGAATATGAAACGTTCAACATTGACTAAAAATCTATAAATATATATATCATGTCTTCCCTTTTGTCCCTATTGCCGCATAATTGATGCTGGTTATTTTTTAAAAATTAATTACAAATAATCTTGCCTAATCATTCAGCTTAGAAGTTTGCAACAGCAACGGCAATGGCCTGGTTATCAGAGTGAGAGATGGACAAAGTGATGTCTTGTACACCGGCCTTCTTGGCAGCAGCAGCAGCCTCACCACGGAGCTGGTATATAGTTAGCATTCGGCTATACTTGGGAGATAATGGGGAAACTTACTCTGACAATGGGCGCACCGGTTTCCTCATCCTTGACAATTTCGATGTCCTTCATGGCAGCACCAGCTCCCCTGCTTGGCACGCCCAGAGACTTGAAGACCGCCTCTTTGGCACTCCAACGGCCAGCAAAGGAGCTCTGAGGGCTTGGGGCCTTCTGGCAGTAGGCAATCTCGTTGGCGGTAAAGTTGCGCTCAACAAATGTCTCGTTCTCAATGTTCACAGCGGAGATATCCTCGACATCAACACCAACTTTGCTGTTCTTGTTGGCGACCTTGGATGCGAGTGCCTCCATAACCTGTTGAGTCTCGCTGGCTCGCGATGATGGAATTGGCTTCTCCGACTGCTTCATGAAGTTGGAAGAAAATACCAGCTCGGCCGACTTGGCGTCAGTCGACACTCTTGCATCAGGGTTGAGAAGAACCTTGCTCAGCTGAGCGTCGGTGTAAGGGGAGTTGGACTTGGCAACAAAGAGGCTGTTGTTGATCAGACCGTTGTGGAAGTAGCGGTATGCCTTCTTCTGGCGACCTGCGACCTTGACGGCGTACTCGCGGTAAGTCTTCTCATCCAGAGTGGCAAAGAGGTACTTGGGGTGGACACCAATGGCTTGGGCTCCCTTCTGTCCGAAACCGAATGAGGTGACGGAGAATGCCTTGATACCATCTGTCTGAATGCTGCGGCTGGGGTACACGATGAGATCAAAGTCCTCCATCACAGGATCGACGTTGTCAGCGTTGCGGTTGCCAGGGACAAGACCCGTGTTCAGGACTTGGAGGCAGCCGTTCATCATCCAGGCACCAGCAGCACCCTTGGGATGACCGGTGAGGTACTTCTGGAAGATACCGAGCACGGCGTTACCCTTGGTGCGGCCGAGATGGCGCAGTTGCTGGCAGATGACAGACGACTCATTCTTGTCGTTGGCCTTGGTCGATGTGCCGTGGAAAGAGGCAACCTCCAAGTCGTCGATGGTGAGACCCCAGGTGGCGAGGGCACCACGGAGAGGAGCGATGCTGGTATCGTTCTTCCAGAAGTTGTTGCCCATGCTTCGGAGAAGCTCCTTCTCTTGCCGGAGAGCCTCTTTCTCGACATGAGCGATGCGGTCTTGAGCATACTCGGTCTCATCAAAGGTAGCACCTTGAGCCTTCATGGCCTCGACTTCGTCGTAGACAAACTCGAGTTCCGACTCCTGCCACTGCTTAATCTGTTTCTTGCGGCGCTCGATCTGGCGGCGGCGGTAGTTGATGTCGAGAAGAGGCGAGGGGAACTTGCCAGCATGTTCACGAGCAGTGGTCAGGACACCCTGTCCAGGGGCAGGAACTGAGCGACCAATCTTGTCAGAGGCTGTGGTAGTCAGGGCTAGGATACCGTAAATGGGCACGCCCATATCCAAAGCCAGCTTGGCAGTCATGATGATTTGAATACCGCAACCCTGGGACTCCATGAAGCCATTTCGGGTCGTAGTAGTCGGGCGGGACATTTCCTTGGGTGTACGTCCGTGGGCAAACTCATCAACAGTGTTGCTTGTGGCCTTCATGTTGGCGAATTCGTAGGATCCCTCCTCACCAAAGTCATCAAAACCACCGACCAAGCACACTCGAGCCTTGCCCTCCATGATGGTCTCGTAACCGATATCTACTGACTCAACAGCTGTAGCGCACGCACCGACTGGAGTCTTGATAGGTCCAGAAGATGAGAGCAGAAGCATGTTAACCCAGGCAGCCATGGTGTTGATGAAGGACTCCTGGAGAATGTCGTTCTGCAGGGGCTTGTCAAGGAATCGATCCTTGTGCATGCCACGCAGAGCAGCGGCACCACCCATACCAGAGCCCACACAGTTACCAACCTCAGACACGTGGACATACTTGTAGAACTCGTAGGGGTCGGTGATACCGCAAGACAGCAGAGCCTCGGCGGTGGAGACAAGAAGGAAGAGAGTGACTGGGTCGACTTGGGAGATGATGTCTTCGGGAACACCGTAGCGCTTAGGATCCCATCCAGTGGGGATCTGTCCAGCAACCAGACGATCGAAGCGAAGCGCCTTGGGGATCCACAGAGCAGCACCCTTCTTCAAACGAACAAGGTATTCACCACTGTCAGGAATCTCGAAGACCTCCACCTTGTCGCCATGCTCGCGCTTGAATTCATCGGCAGTCTCCTTGGAAGCCTCGAATGGCTCAAGATCTTCCTCGATGACAACCTCGTGAAGCATCTGCTTCTTGTTGGGGTCATAGCCGTCAAACAGCTCAGGTTCGATCAATCGAATACCGGAGTGTTCAAGAATGAACTTCTCGTACTTGGCCTTGATATCCTTGTCGTCGACTGGGTCGCCAGACTTGGCATCAACCCAGCCTGCGTAGGGCTTGCCCTTGAGAGGGCCATTGTGGTTCTTGATCAAACCCATGATCCAGGCCATTTCGACACAGCCTTCAAGAGAGAACTCTCCGTACGCTTCCATCTCCCAGCGAGTGCGAGAGTTACCCCAGGGGCCAACTTCGGCGAAACCAGTCACGACAACGACCTTCTCAAGGTCAACCATACCCTTCAGCTTATCGTTATGGGGGGCGATCTCTGTCTTCCAGTCAGGAAGATTTGGGAAGTCAAACTTGATGTTGGCACGGGGGTCAACGGTCTTCTTCTTAAAGAGAACCTCTGAGTCCGCACCGTTGACGACGGAGTGCTCGATAGCACTCTCCTTGGAGACGGCCTTGCGGATCTCGCTTGTCTCCATAATGTCCTTGCGCAGCTTGGTCATGGTCTCGTTGAGGTTGGGGATAAACTGAAGACCACCATTCAGGTCGGCAAACACTGGCTCGGACTGGCAAAGGTCAACAATCTTAGGGGACATCAAGCCCAAAAGGTTGAAGGCCATCTCTTGCTGGGAGAAAGTGCGAACGCCGAACGCCTCAACACCCTCAGCAACGATGTTGTTGCCAGACATGAGACCAGTTCCGCGGGTCCAGCCAATGACAGCTCCGCAGACGGTGAGGTAGTTGGCCCAGCTTTCGGAGTACCATCGATTGAATAGTGTCTCGAGAGCCAGCTTTGATTCAGAGTACAGACCGTCGTTTCCGAAAGTTCCGTGGTTGGGGGACAGGGGAAGGACAACTTGAGCGGGACGAGTTTCGAAGCCGCGCTCGGTCTTCTGGGACTTGACGCAACCCAACAGGCGAATAAGGTTGGTCAGCATGATACGGTGGGCCAGTTCTGAGCGAGAGTCGATGGTGTCGATTTGACGCCCGTTCTCTGAGATAGCGGCGAAGGGCACAATGAAGTCAAGATCCCAGCCGAGACCGGTCTTGGTATCATAGATGTACTCAACCAAGGCCTCGACATCCTGCTTGCTACCCTGGTTGAAAGGAACGACGACGATCTGGGAGCCCCGAGAACCGAAGCGCGTGTACATGGACTGGTAGTACTCGGTCACTTCACGTGAGAATCGACTTGTGGTCACAACGACCTTGGCACCACCGCTGACGAGGCCCTGGAGGACTTCAGCGCCGATGGAACCAGCACCAGCACCAGTCATCAGAACGTACTTGCCCTGGAAGGTAACACCATCTCTGGCAGCATTTTCAAGGCAGTTGAGATACGTGCCAGTGAGTCTCTTGCTGTAATCCCAACCATGGAGGGTCTTCTTCTTCAGGTGGAGGAATGGAATGGTCTCTACCTTGCCCTTGTTCTGGCTAGTACCCTTGAGGGTCTTTCTGGGCTTTCCATTCTTCTCAGGAATGATCTGGCTCTCATTCATGGCTAGAGAACGCAGAACATCGCCATAGAGGCTTCGAATCTCAAGCTGGGATGTCTTGGACATCTTATGCTGCTGCTTGATAAGCTTGTAAATGCGCTGCAAGTCGTTTTGGACCTTGGTACGGTTGCCATATTCAGAGATCTTGCCACCCTCAGCCATTTGTTGGACATAGTGCTCAAGCTTTCGGCAACTGGCGCGAGGCACTTCCTCGTAGTTGAGGTTACCCCGGGCATCGATAGTTGTTCGGGGGGCGGTGGGAACCGCGACATCCTTGTACATAGGAGCAACGTTGAGGACCTCTTGGCAGTTCTCGAAGAGCTGCTGGGCGAGCTCCTTAGCCAGCTTGTAGGTCTCGCCTCTCTCAGTGGGGCAGTTGTCAATGTGATATTGCATGAAGTCGAGCAACTTGGGGTTGGAACGGCTCATGATGCGAATACATTGACTAACAATCTCACGATCGACAGCCTGAAGTCGCCCAAAGATGACATCGTAGTACATGCTCAAGGCATCCTGGCGAACCCAGTTCCACGATGAATCATAGACGCGAGCCTTGAGGGGACTGAAGACGGGCTCGATTCCGGAGGCGTAGAAGTCGCCGTGCTCAGTGTTCCACAGATCGAGCTGGGCTTGGAGCACCTTCTCTGACTTCTTCGAGTCAAGGGATGCCTTGTCTCCGGCACGGAGATCCATCTTGAGGTAGCGGGCAAAGAGCTCCAGCTGCTGCTTGAACAGGGCACGCTGATCCTTGGTCAAGGCATCGATGGCAGCGGGGTCCATCATCATACCACCACCAGAACCACCCGAGGAACCAGTCTCTGCCGCGCTGGACAGGTTGACACCGGCATTGGCGGCATATTTCTGAACGACTCCGTCAAGGAAGGCCTTGGCGTCACCTTCAGATCCCAGACGGGCAGGAGGCTCCATCGTCAGTGCTAAGAGCAGAGCGCCATCCTGACGCCCAGAGGCAAGGCCCCATCTTGATTCGAGATACTTTCTCGTCGATGTGATATTGAACCCACCGGGCATCTTGGAGGAAATCAGACGAGCAATAAGCGATTGTGACTGTTTACCAAGATTGCCATCGAATGTTGCTTGCATGGCAGCACCGAGTTCGTCGAGGGGGGTATCTTCGGGCTTTTCTGGGGTGGAACCGAATTCTTTACCAAGATCACCGAGAATCTCGTTTTGAAGTGTGGATTTGCCTGTTCGAGACATGTTAGATGTTTGCTGTGCTCGTAGAAGCTCTGTTTCAATGATGCTTTACTTACCACCAACAAGGTCTTTAATGGCCTTGCTCAAAGGAATGTCAAGCAGTGGCTTCTTGAGCTTCTGTGCGATCAAGGCGCGCACAATATCTACGGCCTGTACAGGCTCATCAGGAACCTGTGCGGCAGGGCCGCTGCTGGGTGGAGGAGGAGCGGCGGCGACGGGAGCAGCACCAGCGGCAGGGCTGGCAGCTGGTGCATCGCCAGCTGGAGCAGATGATCCGGCAGCTGGCTCAGGCTCATCCTCGACGGGATCGACGTCGTAGTAGATCTCCTTGGCGTCTTTATTATAGCACAAAATCTGACGCTGTACAGACTTTGCGGCATCGTAGGCTTCGTACTTGGCCTTGAGGGTCCTCTTGGCCATCACTCCGAGGGTGTCTGCGGGACCGATTTCGACAACCCGCTCGGCGGTCTTTTCGGCAAGGAATACATCCTGGGTCTCAATCCACCTCACTGGCGAAGCGAATTGGTATGCAAGAAGCTCGATGAGCAGTGTGTGAGCGAGCTCTTGCTCGACCTCGGGACGCATGGCGGCGGTTGATGGCCAGGAGCCAATGCTGGGTATCTATAAAACCGTCTCGAATTGGCCGATGATCTATTCACGGACGAAAGCTTGCAGACTCCAACCGGTGAATGGACTTTAGGGGTTGGAGAAGCTGCAAGAAAAAAAGGCGAAGAGAAAGAAGTGGACTGGTGGTTGAGGGGGACCAGTGTCGAGGAGTATATTACGGAGGGAGGGGCCAAACTCGCCGTTGGCTGTTGATCGCCGTTGCTTGGCTGAGAAGGGTTGAAGTAGACAAGGAGGAGAGGATGGTGATGACGGCAAGGCAATTGAAAAGACAACTGGCACTCGCTTGACGATTGATGGTCGTCTTGGCCGAAAAGCTGTCAACCCAAGTCAATGGCAATCCACAACAGCCGAGATGATGGCCAACGAGCTTCGACCGCACTTGCAAACGGATAAGCGTAGCGATTGTTGAATCCAAGCACCCACACGGACGGCACAAAAAAAAACATGGCGCACCCTGGTCCCCTGCTGTGGTTGCGCTGATAGCAGGCCCTGCAGCAAGCTCCTCAACCATATTGCCGATCTAAGCCTAGACGGGCCTGGTGTGGGTCGTAGAGTGAAATGTAATTCCCCAGAATTCACACCCGGTGTCAAAATTTTTGGGGCACCATCAGGCCTCTTGCCCATCAACGCCCCTCCGCCAGTCTTCCCCCTGGGCAACCGCTAGAAAACCGCAGGGGGTGTTTGGGGGTTTGGGGGCGTCGATGCTCGGTGTCCGTGCTGCAGGGCTTCGGTTTTAGTTGGATGCATCGGCCCAAGAACCTGTCTTTGCTATCGCCACGGTGCGGCTGCCTTATGTCAGGAGCCGTGTGTGCTTGTCAGCAGATGATTGACATAATGCCTCCCTGGCGACCAGGGTGGCCATCGACTATCGTCCATGGACCACGACGTTGGACTCGATGGGTCCTGGCTCGAGGAGCGCTGCGAGATGAGCGGGAAGCCGCCGGCCCTTGCTGGTTCCGCTAGGCGGGCGGGCGTGGGCATCCGGGACTCTGGCCCAGGCAAGGCACCACACTGACAGCAGAGACGGTGTGTGTACCTGGTACTTTGGCACCTAACGTAGCATCTGCGAACTACCGGTCTGGCTACTATGCTCTCTTCTCTGACATTCTACGGCTGAGATGAGCTGGTAAATTTGATGCAGGCATCCTCTAGGAAATCTCTGAAAGCAGGCAATTCTTCAACACAGCACTCCTTCTCTTCCGCGTCGCCCTCTCTAAGCTCGGCTATGTCGCGGGCGAATGGTCGGACTGATACAACAACCGCGACGTCGTAGTTTGATAACGTTTGTTGAGCTTGTTGTTGTGCTGCCTTGACCATCGAGGTGGGTTATGTCAATTGCCACGGGGACGATACGGAGTTTCTGCAAAGGCGTCAACGGGAGGGCAAGGGATATATTCCAACACAATGTTGGCCCCCCCTCCACAGTCGTTGAGCGTTGCCGCAACCAGGTTCCATCAGTAGTAATTAATCAACCCTCCGGTTCCGTGTCATTCCGCACGGGCGTACGGCTGTGGCGGAGGTTGCTTGTCATGGCCCAACAGGAAAAAAATCAATTCAAGGGAGAAGGGCCAAACCCAGACCGGAGCAAAGCAAGGACCCCTTCCACGTGTACCGGTACCTTTGCTGGGGGCTGGGCCTGCAACAGACACGCTAAGGGGACTAGCACCAGACATGATTTCCAACACTGAGAACGACCCCTTTGGCAATCAAGGGTTGTAGAGGGGCAGAGGGCCATCCATATCCGTCATCCCCAACAGAACTAATTTTTTGACGAGCAACCGACCACCTTTTGCTCTGCCGTGAGCAACCCAAACACTCCTGCTAGCTGCCTGGGTTTTAGGCTACCTAACTGGCCCGTCCGCCGCGCAAGTCTTATCCATAGGTACTACTTACAGCGCTCGGCCTGATCTGGCGGCGTTACCACCCACACCCACTTACTGCCTCCAAGCTCCCACCTCCCCACCTTCTTGTACTAATCCTCATCCTCATACCGACTGGGAAATCTTCATGCCTCGTTTCCTCCTCAACTTCTTCTCCCTCTAGTCCATTCATTGTAATTCCTCTTCACCCCGTCCCAGAGGCAATAATCAGCCTGTTGTTGTTGGAGCTTTGCCATTGCTTGCTCCATCTTCTTCTAATCCCCTGGGCATTTTTTTCACGTCTGGGTGTCGCCTTGCGCATTTGCGCATTGGCAAATTGCTGAGTGTTTGGCTGTTTTCCAACTGCCAGAATCGTCAATTACAAACGTTGAACTAGGTATTTGAACATACTCGATTTTCAATTCGGTGGATTTGAACGTCCAGAAGCTAACTGCTCCCTCTGCCGCCAGACCTCGCCCATCATGTACGGCTCAGGAACGGGCCCTCAAACGGGCATCAACACCCCGAGGTCCAGCTCGTCTCTCCGCCCATTGACCCTGTCTCATGGCACCCTCGACACCTCCTTCCTCATTCCTACCAGCCTTCACTTCCACGCCACCCAATTGAAGGACCGCTTCATTGCGAGTCTCCCCCCGGCCACAGATGAGCTTGCCCAAGACGACGAGCCCTCGTCTGTCCCGGAGTTGGTGGCAAGATATATGGGGTTTATTGCAAAGGAGGTGGATGAAGGCGAGGACGACGGGCAAGGTTCCTACGAAGAAGTTCTCAAGCTCATCATAAACGAGTTTGAGCGAGCATTCCTCCGCGGCAACGAGGTCCACGCTTTGGCGGTGACCTTACCTGGCATCGTTAGCAAAAAGCTCGAAATCGTCCGAAGTTACTATTTCGCCCGCTCCGTATCGAACCGTGCCATCAAGCCACACGAGTCTGCCCTTTTCAGAGCTTCTGATGATGGCTCTGCCAAGGTCTTCACAATTTTTGGCGGTCAGGGAAACATCGAGGAGTACTTTGAGGAGCTGCGAGAACTCTACCAGACATACCCCACATTCATTGGAGAGCTTATCACTTCGGCGGCAGAGCTGCTCCAGTCTCTCTCCAACGAACCCAGTGCCGAGAAGACCTACGCCAAGGGTTTGGATATCATGACATGGTTGACCGACCCTGATTCCACCCCTGATGTAGATTATCTGGTTTCGGCCCCAGTGAGCTTCCCCTTGATTGGGCTCGTCCAGATGGCTCATTACGAGGTCACCTGCAGAATCCTGGGTCTTGACCCTGGCCAATTCCGTGAACGACTTGTCGGCTCAACTGGTCACTCGCAGGGTATTGTCATGGCTGCTGCTACTGCTGCTGCTGCTTCCTGGGAGTCGTGGCGCGAGATCGCCACCTCCACTTTGACAATCCTCTTCTGGATCGGAGCTCGAAGCCAGCAGTCCTTCCCAGTCACCTCGATGACACCAACTATGCTTAGCGAGTCCTTGGAGCACGGTGAGGGAACACCAACTCCCATGCTTAGCATTCGTGACCTGTCACAGGCCGAAGTTCAGAAACACATCGATGCTACCAACCAATATCTGCCAGCGGATCGCCACATTAGCGTCTCGCTTATCAACAGCCCCCGCAACCTTGTTGTAACTGGCCCTCCCACATCGCTCTACGGTCTCAACTCGCAGCTGCGGAGGGTGAAGGCGCCTACCGGACTTGACCAGACCAGAATTCCCCACACTGAGAGAAAGGTCCGCTTCTCGAACCGTTTCTTGCCCATCTCGGCTCCTTTCCACAGCAAGTACTTGGCCGAAGCTACCGCTTTGATCGACGAGGATCTCAAGGATATCAGCATTGACGCATCCGAGCTTGGAATCCCTGTATTTGACACAAACAACGGCTCTGACCTGCGAGAGTCAGTCCAGGGCAACCTTGTCCCCACGCTTGTGCGCCTCATCACGCGCGACCCTGTCAACTGGGAGAAGGCTACTATCTTCCCGGATGCCACTCACATCATTGATTTCGGCCCTGGTGGCATCTCTGGCTTGGGTATACTCACAAGCCGAAACAAGGAAGGAACTGGTGTCCGTGTCATTCTTGCCGGTTCCATTGACGGAACTGTTACTGAAGTTGGCTACAAGCCTGAACTCTTTGATAGAGACGAGGAGCATGCGGTCAAATACGCCATTGACTGGGTCAAGGAGTTTGGCCCCAGACTTGTCAAGACCTCTCGTGGAACTACCTATGTCGACACCAAGATGAGTAGACTCCTGGGTCTTGCGCCCCTTCTGGTCGCGGGTATGACACCCTGTACAGTTCCATGGGACTTTGTTGCCGCCACCATGAACGCTGGTTACCATATTGAGCTGGGTGGTGGTGGTTATTTCCACCACAGCGGCATGACCGACGCCCTCAACAAGATCGAGCGCGCTATTCCCGCCGGCCGTGGTATCGCCGTCAACTTGATTTATGTGAACCCGCGTGCTATGGCCTGGCAGATCCCACTTCTCGCCAGATTGCGTGCCGAGGGTCTCCCTATTGAGGGTCTTACTATTGGTGCCGGTGTTCCCTCCATCGAGGTTGCACAGGAGTACATTGAGACTTTGGGCTTGAAGCACATCTCGTTCAAGCCAGGTTCCGTGGAGGCTATCCAAGCTGTCATCAACATCGCCAAGGCTAACCCTCACTTCCCTGTCATGCTCCAGTGGACCGGTGGTCGTGGTGGTGGTCACCATTCCTTTGAAGATTTCCACCAGCCTATTCTCCAAATGTACGGACGTATCCGCCGACAGGAGAACATCATTCTCGTTGCTGGCAGTGGTTTTGGTGGATCTGATGACACTTACCCTTACATCACTGGCCAGTGGTCTAAGAAGTACGGCTACCCTCCTATGCCCTTTGATGGATGCCTGTTTGGTAGCCGCATGATGGTCGCCAAAGAAGCCCATACTAGCAAGGCCGCCAAGCAGGCCATCGTGGATGCTCCTGGTCTGGATGATGCCCAGTGGGAGCAGACTTACAAGGGCCCTGCTGGTGGTGTCATCACCGTCCGTTCCGAAATGGGCGAGCCAATCCACAAGCTTGCTACCCGCGGAGTTCGTTTCTGGGCTGAGATGGACCAGAAGATCTTCAGCTTGCCCAAGGAGAAGCGTATTCCCGAGCTCAAGAAGAACCGTGACTACATCATTAAGAAACTCAATGACGATTTCCAAAAGGTTTGGTTTGGATGCAACAAGAACGGCAAGGCCGTTGACCTTGAGGATATGACATACGCTGAGATTGTTCGCCGCCTCGTTGACCTGCTCTATGTTAAGCATCAATCTCGATGGATTGACCCATCTTTTGTTCGACTGACTGCCGACTTTATCCACCGTGTCGAGGAGCGATTTACCAGCTCTACCGGCCAGCCCTCGCTGCTGCAGAACTATGCTGACTTGGACACGCCTTTTGAGACGGTTGACCGGATTTTGTCCCACTACTCCGAGGCAGAGACTCAGGTTGTGAACGCTCAAGATGTTCAGCATTTCCTCCTGCTCTGCTTGAGGCCTACGCAGAAGCCAGTCACGTTCATCCCTGCTCTGGATGAGAACTTCGAATTTTTCTTCAAGAAGGATTCTCTTTGGCAGTCCGAGGACCTCGATGCTGTTATCGGTCAGGACGTTGGCCGCACATGTATCCTCCAGGGACCTACTGCGGCAAAGTTCTCTACGGTTCTTGATCAGCCAATCAAGGAGATCTTGGATGGAATCCACAATGCTCACATTGATGCCTTGACGAATGATATCTACAAGGGTGATGCCAACGCCATCCCCGTTGTCGAGTACTTCGGTGGTAAGCTTGTGGAATCAGAGATTCCTCTGGATATTGAAAGCTTGACTGTTAGCTACGACACACACAAGAACACTTACCGCATTTCCAACTCGGTTAATGCTACCATCCCCCCAGCTGACCAGTGGCTTGCTCTCCTTGCCGGCCCTAACCGTAACTGGAGACATGCCATGATCATGTCTGAGGTCATTGTCCAGGGCAAGAAGTTCCAAACCAATCCCTTGCGACGTATTTTCGCTCCCTCGAGAGGTTTGTTCGTTGAGATCCAGTATCCCAACGATCCTGCTAAGACTACTATCGTTGTCAAGGAGCAGCCCAGACACAACCAGTACGTTGATGTCATTGAAGTCAAGCTCACTGGCTCGAACGAGATCACTGTCAATTTGATCAAGGATACCACCGCCCTTGGTGAGCCAGCATCTCTTCCCCTCAAGTTCAAGTACTTGCCCGAGGCTGGTTATGCTCCGATTCACGAGGTCATGGAAGGCCGAAATGATCGCATCAAGGAATTCTACTGGCGAGCTTGGTTTGGCAATGATGAGCTCGACCTGGACGCCCTTGTCACCAGCCAGTTCGACGGTGGCAAGACTACCATCACCACTGAGGCCATCAACGACTTCGTCCATGCTGTCGGCAACAATGGTGAGGCTTTCGTCGACCGACCTGGCAAAACCGTTTTCGCTCCTATGGACTTCGCCATTGTGATTGGCTGGAAGGCTATCACCAAGCCTATCTTCCCTCGCACAATTGATGGCGATCTTCTCAAGCTTGTCCATCTCTCCAACGAGTTCCGTATGCTTCACGGTGCTGAGCCTCTCAAGAAGGGCGATGTGGTTTCGACCACTGCACAGATCAATGCCATCATCAACCAGGAATCTGGCAAGATGGTTGAGGTCTGCGGTACTCTTTCACGTGATGGGTCGCCTGTCATGGAAGTCACTTCTCAATTCTTGTACAGAGGCGCCTACACCGACTATGAAAACACTTTCCAGCGCAAGACTGAGACCCCCATGCAAGTCCATCTCGCGACATCTCGTGACGTTGCTGTCCTGAAGTCAAAGCAGTGGTTCAACGCAGATGAAATCCCTACCGAGATTGAACTTCTTGGCCAGACATTGACCTTCCGCCTGCAGAGCTTGGTCCGATTCAAGAACAAGAGTGTCTTCAGCAGTGTTGAGACTCGTGGCCAGGTTCTCCTTGAGCTTCCTACCAAGGAGGTCATCCAGGTCGCCAGTGTTGATTATGAGGCTGGCGAGTCCCACGGCAACCCAGTCATTGATTACCTGACCCGCAATGGTTCTACTCTTGATCAACCTATCAACTTTGAGAACCCCATTCCCCTCAGCGGCAAGTCTCCTCTGCAGCTCCGTGCTCCTACCTCGAACGAGATCTATGCCCGTGTCTCCGGAGACTACAACCCCATTCACGTCTCTCGTGTCTTCTCAAGCTATGCTGACCTGCCTGGTACGATTACCCACGGCATGTACTCGAGCGCCGCAGTCCGCAGCCTTGTTGAAACTTGGGCTGCGGAAAACAACATTGGTCGTGTGCGAAGCTTCCACGCCTCTTTGGTAGGTATGGTTCTTCCCAACGACGATATCCAGGTCAAGCTCCAGCACACTGGTATGGTTTCAGGCCGAAAGATCATCAAGGTTGAGGCCAGCAACAAGGAGACTGAGGAGAAGGTTCTCCTTGGTGAAGCTGAGGTTGAGCAGCCTGTGACTGCTTACGTGTTCACCGGTCAGGGTTCTCAGGAGCAGGGTATGGGTATGGAGCTCTATGCCAGCAGCCCTGTGGCCAAGGAAGTTTGGGATCGTGCGGATACCTACCTCATGGACAACTATGGTAAGTTGGCTGTCAATAACAAAGTGCTTGAGATGCCGAGCAGGTCGCTAACTTTGCATCACTAGGTTTCTCTATTACCAACATTGTGAAGAACAACCCCAAGGAGCTGACCATTCACTTTGGTGGTCCTCGAGGCAAAGCTATCCGACAGAACTACATGGCAATGACCTTCGAAACTGTCGCTGCTGATGGCTCTGTCAAGTCTGAAAAGATTTTCAAGGAAATCGATGAGAGCACTACTTCCTACACGTACCGATCACCGACTGGTCTGCTGTCTGCCACCCAGTTCACACAACCAGCCCTTACCCTGATGGAGAAGGCCAGTTTCGAGGATATGAAATCGAAGGGCCTTGTCCCCAGAGATAGTACTTTCGCTGGTCACTCTTTGGGAGAGTACTCTGCTCTCGCGGCTTTGGCCGAGGTCATGCCTATCGAGAGTTTGGTGTCGGTTGTGTTCTACCGTGGATTGACCATGCAAGTCGCTGTCGAGCGTGATGCTGCTGGCCGCTCCAACTACTCCATGTGTGCCGTGAACCCAAGCCGCATCTCAAAGACCTTCACTGAAGAGGCACTGCAGTTTGTTGTCGACAACATTGCAGATGAGACTGGTTGGCTCCTTGAGATCGTCAACTACAACATTGTTAACATGCAGTACGTGTGTGCTGGTGATCTGAGGGCCCTGGATACACTGGCTGGTGTGACCAACTTCCTCAAGAAGCAGCAGATTGATATCGAGGAGATGAGAAGCAACATCGAAGAGGCCAAGGGTGCCCTTCGAGAAATCATCCGCGGATGTGCCGAGGCCACGCTCAAGAAGCCTAGGCCTCTGGAACTGGAGCGTGGATTCGCTACCATCCCTCTCCGTGGCATTGACGTCCCCTTCCACTCCACGTTCTTGCGATCTGGTGTCAAGCCTTTCCGATCCTTCTTGATGAAGAAGATCAACAAGACCACCATCGACCCATCTAAGCTTGTTGGAAAGTACATCCCCAACGTCACTGCTAAGCCATTTGCCCTGACCAAGGAGTACTTTGAGGATGTCTACAAGCTGACCAACTCGCCCAAGATTGCCAACGTCCTGGCCAACTGGGACAAGTACGCTCAGGAGGAGGTTAACGGTACTGGCGACAGTGAGAGCGGCTCCAATGGCCACTATGAGGGCCCCGGCGCTGCTGCTTAAGCAGGCACCGAAAGAGAAAAAAAAGTAAAAAGAAAACAAAAAGCCAAGCAAAGAAGGGGATAGAAAATGGGCAAGTGCGGTCATGAAATATATATTAGAGAGGATGGAGGCCTTGTTATGTCTGGTCAAGGCTTCCATTCAATCAATCATTTAGTGAATGGGTGACGCAAGAAGAAATATCACAGATATGGGATTGGCTTGTCGGTTTAACGCAGATTATGTAGATTCCCTTGTCACCTTTTTAATATTTTCGAGTAGAGCGGCGTGCTTTGTAACGCAAATAGAGATACAGTACGTGAACTTTGGTCGTGTTGCACCAACTTACTGCCGGTGATGATGCTCCTGTATGTCGACTTTGAATAAATGTAAGCATACCCAACCCTGCTTCACTACTATGGTCTACATCTAGCCACATCAGATCTCAATAGCCCGGGTATCTAGTCGATTAATAACTCATCAGTGTTGTTGCTCCTAATCACACTCTGCAAGATCGGATCGGCTGGCGGCGATCCCCGCCTCCAACAGATGGGCGCAAGCCAATCACCAGAGCAGATTCGGGCAGCGTGGGGGATGATGATCCTCCCACGATAGGAATGCAAGATTAGATTGCATATGGATGCATGCATATAAGACGTAGTTCTCTGCCCGAGCCTTCGGGACACTTTGCCTCTTTCCCCTCGTTCTCTTTCTTCATTGCATCTCGAAGAAGGCTTTAGGTCTTGTGGGAAACAGCCTGCAGATCCCGAGAGCCTGCTAGACTTGCTGACTTTTAGTTGGTAGTTAGTGGACGTGCACTGGAACAGCAGTGAGCAAACAGTGCTATTAGTTTGACCTGCCAGTTGAGCCTCTAGGCCAACTTCCTCACTCACTCAACACTCGCTCTTTTTAATCACTTTAACCGAAAACTCGCATTTGGTTTTGCATTAAATTTCATCTACACTTCTTAGTGAATGATCTGCATATCTGCCTCTTGACAGACGAGAAAAGAGTAGAGTGGCCACGATGTCCCCTTCGCAGGTCCTGGACGGTGCGAACCGGCAGGTCTTCTTGGGCACCTTTGTACACAGCAAGAGTCGCGCCGAGCTTGAGTACATGCATGACACTGCTGTTTATGTCGATGAACATGGTGTCATTGCCAAGGTTCAGAAGAGCGGGAGCGATACTGTGGGAGAAACGCTCAAGGATCTCGGCTGGGACGCGGCCTCCGTCGAGCGGCACGTCTCTACAGAGGGCCAGTTCTTCTTCCCTGGACTCATTGGTGAGTGCGATGCCGAAATCTATCCATCTATCACACGTTGGTTTCGTTGTGCTAATCAGACAATCCCAGATACACATGTTCATGCCTCCCAGTACCCCAACGTCGGCATCTTTGGCAAGACTACCCTCCTCGACTGGCTGGAGAAGTACACCTTCCCGCTCGAGTCGAGCCTCAAGGACCTCAACAAGGCTCGGAGAGTTTACTCGGCCTGCGTTCGTCGGACACTGGCCCATGGGACCACAACGGCCGCCTACTACGCCACTACAGACGTCGCCGCAACAAACCTGCTGGCAGATCTGTGCCTCAAGATGGGACAGCGTGCCTTCGTCGGCCGCGTCTCCATGGACAACCCCGACCTCTGCCCAGACTACTACCGGGACGAGTCGGCCCAGGCGTCGGCCGAGCTCACCGAGCAGACGATCCAGCACATCCAGAAGGCCGACCCAGATTACGAAATCGTCTCGCCCATCGTGACCCCGCGCTTCGCGCCCTCGTGCACCAGCGAGGCCATGCACCACCTCTCGGCCCTCCAGCGCAAGCACGACCTGCCCCTCCAGACGCACGTCTCGGAGAACAAGGGGGAGATCGCCCTGGTCGCGAGCATGTTCCCGGACTCGACGTCGTACGCGGACGTGTACGACCGGCACGGCCTGCTGACGCCGCGCACCATCCTGGCGCACGCGGTGCACCTGACGGACGCCGAGGCGGACGTCGTGGCGGCGCGCGGGGCCAAGGTCTCGCACTGCGCGTGCAGCAACAGCTCGCTGACGAGCGGCGCGGCGAGGGTGCGGTGGCTGTGGGGGAAGGGGATCGAGGTCGGGCTCGGGACGGACATGAGCGGCGGGTACAGCTCGTCGGTGCTCGAGGCGGCCAGGCAGGCCGCGCTGGTGAGCCGGCACGTTGCCATGGGCGAGGAGGGCGGCGATGGGCACAAGCTGACGGTGGACGAGGTGCTGTACCTAGCCACGAAAGGGGGAGCCATCTGCGTGGGGCTGGAGGACAAGATTGGGGGGTTTGAGGAGGGGAAACACTGGGACGCGCAGCTGATTGGGATGCGGACCGTCGGCTCAGGGGAGGGAGAGGACGGCGAGGGTGAAGGTGAGAGTGAGGACAGCAATGTTGACCTGTTTGGCTGGGAGGACTGGGAGGAGAGAATGGCCAAGTGGCTGTACGGCGGAGATGACCGTAACACCAAGAAGGTCTGGGTCAAGGGACGACTGGTGCATTCACGATGGGGAAGTGACCGCCAGACCAAATAAGTAGTCAGGGTGTTTGGAGGGGCAATCCGCGGATATAGATGGCTCATTTCAGCAGGTTTGGAGTACGGATTTTACATAGATGGATGGCTGTTTTCATTGCGGTTACGGAAAGACGCATCAGCACGCAAGCAAGCAACTCATGAGCTCGTGGCAGATGGATGAAATCAATTTACACACACTTACATTCACACTGTTCATATATGATCCCGTGGCAATTGCATGATATAAGTCGTAAATTGGTCAACTACTTGAGAGTTGAACTCCTGGCTTCCCTCAAAGGGAACGGCAAGCCCAGCAACAAACAATAGACCCCGAGACAAACGTTTCCCTCCTAACCATGATATTCCTCAGAACGTACCTCCCCTTTTTCTCCATGCCAGCTTCACGAAGGCGAAGTGAAAAGCAAAGACCAAACCCCCAGATTGACGAAACCGGTGATGAAACTCAGATACCAAAACTCCTTCCCGTGTGAAACCCCGCCCCTTTGACCGGTTTTGACCGAGAAAACCTCCCGTAGACAGACCAAGAAGAGCCTCGTGATTGCGACAGATAAAAATAAGCAAATGTTTGGATAACGGAAACAAACTATCAAAAAACGACCGGATTTGGAAGAGAGGAGAGGTTTGAGCAGAGTGCGCAGGCAGAAAACCCGGCACCCGCTCCAGCATTAAACGCCCCCCAAACCTAAGAATGATCGATAAAGATACTTCCAGTAAAGACCCAGACAGGAAATGCTGTCAAGGATGAGAGAGATAGTTAGCCCCAGGGGGTGTTCGCCTGCTGCGCCGCCAGCTGCGGTATCCACGCCTTGGCGTTGGCGGCGTTCTCCTTGGCCTCGAGCCTAGCCTTGGTCCTCTCCGCCCTTCTCCTCTGCTCCTCCTTCTTCTTCTCCTCGGCGAGCCGCTGGTCGCTCGCCGTGACGCGCTCCGCGACCTTCTCGACCATGCGCGTCCTCATGAACTCGTCCATGGCCTCCCACTCGGTCGGGTCGCCGCCCAGCGAGATGAGCTTGAGCCGCAGCCACGCGCACTCGGCCGACTTCCTGTTGAGGATCTGCCGGGTGTTGTGCAGCGCCTCGAGCCGGGTCTCGCGGCTCTTCTTGGCCGCCTGGTTGTTCCTCTCGCGGTCGATCCGCTGGCTCTCCGAGGCGATCTTGTTGTTGTACTGCCTGATGCGGTCCTTCTCCTTCTCGCTCGCGCCCTCGGGCACCTCGATGTACTCGCCCGCCGTCGCCTTGGCCGGTAAGGCGGCTACCCGCGAGGGGGGCAGGGCGGGAGGGTTGTCCTCCTGGAGCTTGAGCTCCCTCTGCCAGCGGTCCTTGATCTCGCGCTGGTCCTGGGCGCCGAGGCCCGGCGGGAGGAAGATCTTGGCGTCCTCGAAGGCGATGGGGCCTATCCGGAGTCCGCAGCGCGCCATCTGCGTGAGCGGGATCGTCCCCTTTTGCCGGTGGTAGGATTGGCCGTATGGCGAGCAAGTCGAGGAGGTGAGTCCCACCGGATCGTCAGAGGGGACAATCGCCGTCTGGGTGAGAGGGAGTGACAGTGTATGGGGCGGCTGAATTGGAGTGCCTGGGATCGGTAGTTTCAAAAGGGTTGTTGAGACGTCTCTGCTCAGATCGCTTCGTGTCTTGATCCGTTTGCCCTGTATTTCGTCGGGTACTGCCGTCGACGGGGCATTTCTCTTCTGGCCTTGCTTAGAAACAAACGCCATCATTCTCGGGTATGTATAAGTGCCAGCGGGTGGATGAGTAGGTGATATGGCTATGAGGAGACTCGGTTATTGACGACTCTCAATCCGTTGCTTCAAACGATAATCGGTGTGTTCGACACCACAGACCTGGATTCATCTTCCTGTTAGTGATACTTGATTGGGGGGTTGTAAGTAATAATAGTAATGATAGTAATGATGCTCGCAATCCAACAAGAGGGGTAACAGTTGTCTTGCAATCGGCTTCTGGCACTCAATTCGGGGAACAAGTCGCAACTATGACAAAGGCTACCCTACCCGGGCCTTGGTTGCTTGGGTAGCTCGATGACTTAAATGGCAACTCTGTGAGTGATTCAGATGTGTGCTGAGCGGACTCGACAGACACGCTGTGATGAAGCCGGTAGGGAAAGCCATGAGAAATGCCACAAGGAAGAGTTGAAAGTTTTACTGGGAAGGTAATTACCTAAAACGTACGGTTCCTGGGTGAGTAACCGCTTGAGTCGTTGGACAGCCGCTGCTGGAGTCTCACTCAACCAGTGCGAATCAGCCACTGGGCTGCTCCGACTCACACTCGATATTCCGGTCTTGAATCACAACCGGACCAACGCACAGTCGAGGGATACAGAGGCCGTGTCAAGCAATTGGAGTATAGCATGAATGAGTCAGCGAAACTCTCCCTGTGTGATGTAGTTTCTCAGTGAGGTGAAGCTGTTGGTGAAGAACAGCTTTTCAACTCCGAGCAACTGTTCTGAGTTAGTTGGTGTTCGATATCCAAAGACCTATGTATCAATTATGCAGCACAACAATAGAGTTATGCTTCTTGGAATGTAGCTGTGAATCATTCGACATATAATCATCTGGACTTCGGTCTGATTCTTCTTCGGGTCATGAATGCAGGTGGATTCTCCAGGCAGACAAGCACTCGTGGCCAACCGATTGCTGCTATTGTCTATTGTCCCTATTGTTGCGTGTATTGTGTGAACACTCAGGCGCAACGTGAATTGATAAAGCGAACGGGAGCAGACCGCTGCTATCTCTCGTGGATCGATTTCTGGCAAAGTCACATCCACCTTTGAGCGGAAACAAGGCAGTAGGCCAATAGGTATTTCCAGGCTTCACAATCCACATCCAGCAAAAGATGAAGTAGGCGGAGTTCTGTGCCCTCGGGTCAACCAATTCTTTCGCAAATAGTCTGCCCAAGCTGACGGATAGGACAATATCCATATACCTTGGGAGTCTGCGCAGGCCATTGCGCATGCTCCCTCCACTGCGTCATCAACAAGCTCGTCCCACCTCAACACACGTCCGGAATCCAAGGAGCACGTGTTTGACGGCCCTTGTATTAGAAATGCAATTAATCAAGCAAGTAGCACAACTCGTTACACCTGAAAAAAAAAACAATGCCGCTTTCCCCCCTCCACAACGTAGAAGAAGTAAGGAAGATATCGATAATGAAGATATCGAACTTCACTGTTGACCGAAGGGAAGTCTAAACGAGGAGGGCCTAGGTAAAGGAACCGGGCCTGTGCTGTATAGATATTCAACGTGCTTTTGAATTTGACCATTTCTTATGCCCAAGCTTAAACTCGGGACACTGTCTTGACTTGACGAAGAGCAACAATAAAAACGAGCAACTCCGGGTCCAAACTCCATGCTTTCGGATCGCAAACCAATACGCCCAACACTTGAATCAATATCATTTTCCTTCTCTTCATTTACAGAGCCAGTCCAGTGCCATCCCCAGTCCATCGGTATAATGCCAGCAATTCTCGCCGCCTTTGATTTTGTTCGTTGAGATCCTCCGGTACACGACCTCGTACTTGGGCTAAGGCGCTCCGCATTACTTTACTAAAGTTTCGCTGCTCTGCGTTAGTGCTTATCATTCGAACAAGATGGATAATGCAGTGGCCAAGATCGTAATTACCTGGTACTCGGTGCTTAGGGTTACAACGCAAGCTTCGTGCGCCCGGACAATGGTCTCACAAGCTCTGACAACGCTTGGCGATGCATCAAGTTGTAACTTGTCTGCTATCAAGAGAAGAAGAAAAGAGCCTTGGAGCAAATAGATGCCGAAGAAGAAAGGCATGAATTCCAGGCCAGGGTCGAATTCCAATATATGGCTGATAGCATCAGCCGCTGATACGGCATGACTAGTAGCCGTGATGAAGCCTTGCGAAGAGATCCAGAGATCTTCATCATCAATTAGGTTAATAGGGTCCCATTTTCCTGCAAGTAGAATATGTAAAACATGCATCACGTGTGTGCCATATGCAATGACGATACGAGTTTGAATATCACTCTCCGTCATCCGGCCAGACGAGCTTGTGTGAACTGATTTGACAGAAGGGGTTGATGCTTCTACGCTCGCACCGCCCATATCCTCGTGATGACCGAGGCCAGACTCGCCCTTGTCATCGCAAGATTTGGGCAGGTTGTGCTGCTCAAACGCTTTCAGGGTTTGCTCATACATCTCCAGGTGACGCGCAATTTCGGCCGTTTGTTCGTCCCACTCGCCGTTAGATCGAAATCCGACTCCGAAACGGGGGTGATTCCTCGCATGATGCAAATCAACAATTTCACCGAGAATCGTCATAAGCGGCAAGAAATAGCCAAATATTCCATGCCCTCGGCAGTCGAATCCTGGCCCACGTGGCCGGATCAAGTCCGCAGTTGACCCTTCGGGTATCGGATTGAGGACATTGGGATCGATCTTGGCGTTACATGAGCTGCCGAAGTCGCCCCTCTGCCATTCCGAATCGTCTAGTGGCTGTAGAAGCCCTTCGCATTCGATGTCAAGAAGAAATAAAGGGCGATTGTAGCAGAGAGCCAAATGTCTGTCAACAATGTAAACAAGCCACCATATGCGTCTCCGCTCTTCCCGTTCTTCTTCAGTGACAAAATTCGAATTATTCCGATGAAGGTCGTGCTCATCCAAGCCATCCGTCTCAAGGTCTCCCTGGTCAGAATGCAGGGGCATTGCGCTCGGGGGTAGTTCACGACCAAGCTTCAACTCTCGAGCAAGAGACCATGCTGCGTTCCACCACCTCAGACTAGCGCCCTTGTATTCACTAGCAGAAACAACGGTGGCCAAGTGAATATAAGTAATAACATCGTCCAGGCTACCCGCAGCACCAAATGCACCAGACTCGCCTGTCAAAGCGCTCATACTGATGGAACCGGGCAGGGCGACACCGAGCCCACCCAGTGACACGGCCCCTTGGGTACCAGGATGTGTTCCTGGAGAAGGCTGGCCTGCAGATACGTGTATCAAAGGGTTAAGTAAGCCAACCGTGAGCTCCAAGAGCTTTTGACACGTCTTGCTTCGGGCGGAAGGCATGCTGGTTAAGAAAGAAGCATCACTCGTCTGAGCAGCAACCCATAGCATACTGGCTAAAAGCGCAGGTTGACACCTCCGTGGTCGCGTTAGGTGCAAGAAAGCACGCTTGCGGAAGACGAAGCCTAGCACATATGGTGACATTGGGTGCATTTTCGCAGACGAGGACGAAGCAAAGTACAAATCGATCAAATCGCACGCTAGTGAAATCGGCAAGATGTTTCCGAGATGTGGAAGTAATGGTTCAAGAACCGGATACCGCATGCTTGGGCCATTCTGGTGGGTGGAATCGAAACTGCCTTGGTGAACCCGACTACCGCCAAACGCAGCCGCCGGTGGTGATGAGAAAGGTATACCCCAGCCGGGAGATGGCGCCCCCGCACCAATCGCATAACCTCCAAGGGGACTGTTCCCTATCCGAAATCCGCCATTCGTTTGGAAATTCGGGGGGCTTTGATCTTGCATAGGAAAAGGTAATTCTTGATACCCTGCAAGAGGATGGCCTTGATGGGTTTCGTACGGGCGGCTTTCCATAAGCTGTGCGCCGATATCTTGCCTTTCAAAACCATGGGGCATGTTTGCGAATCCGTTCATATCGATCGCTTGTGCGTTGTCCACATGGCCATTTTCTAATCCATGATGATCGACGCGAATTGAATCTTCGACTCCGGTCGCAGACGCTGCGGCCATGGCGGATTCTTCAAATTGATCCACAGAGTTATCCGCTTCATGCTGGTTGAGTTCGTGATTTTGGTTTTCGGTGTGTTTCGAAACTGAGTCCACGCTCGGCTGCACTTCTGATTCCATAGACCCATCGCCACCACTGTTCGAGCCTCGTCTCTGCCCGTTAGTTGACTCTGCCGCAGCACGAGCTGCTGCCTGGGCCGCCAGATCTCGCCGAGACGCTTTCCCGCGTTTCTTCCTTTCTCGAGCATATTCGCAGCCAAGCCCAAATTCTATCAAGTCAGTTGCCCATTCCATCCTCCGGAAAGCCAAGCTAACTTTACTCACCAAGACAATGGGCGCAAGGATGTTGACCATCACATTTTGTCCTTAGCTGATTGCATTGATCACAGGCACGACTGATCCTTCGCCTGACCTGCCCTGAGGTCCCTCGCCCACTGGAACCAAAGCTCGGTTGCCGCTGTTTGGGCTGTGGTGCTACTCTAGCCAGCTGAGGATCCTGCATCGCGGCATGCTGTTGAAGTTGAAGATTGTATTGCGTGGCCTGACCGAGTGAATCGAGGCCATGGTGTGTTAGGGATGACTGTTGAGTTTGCCCGTTAGGGCCGACCGGGGACTGGTTGAGGTTTTGATATGGAGAGTATCGTTGAAGAGGATTCGACAACATTTTGAAGGTTGGACATCCAATTGAAACCACGAATGGGTCCGTTTCCGAATGATTATTCTGAGAAGAGGAAAATGGTGTCAAGAAGACCGTCAACTAACTGGTCGCATGCCAAGCAGTTCGCATCTCGAGAAATCGTATCAGCAGGTGCAGCTTATGCGCGATTCCTCCCGGCGCATAGAATCCTTGTATAGCCCTCCAAGTCTATCCTACCATGGCCCAACGTCAGAACTACCAAATATTTAGGGTTAGCTAATGGCGCTGGTTTCAATGCTCGAGGGTGGAACAGAGTCAGGGAACGCGACGCGAGCAACGAATAATGCGGCAATTTGTAGATTGTAGAAAACAAGGATTGTTGAGAGCGGCCAGAAAAGACTCCCAGCATAACATCAATTGGGAGGTCGAGAAGGCCCAGGTATAAAACAAGCAGACGTAATTAGACAGCTGATATAGCTGGTCATATTACTCCACACCAGGCGCACCTTTGCGCAACCTGACCAAGCCGTAGTTGGGCTGTAAAACTTGACAGAGAGCTTCGAAATCGTAGACTCACAGCTTCACTCAACGGGGCGCGTATCTCGCGGGCCTAACGATTCGAAACTCGATGATCAATGCGTTAAATTCCAGCTCGACTTTCGGCCTCTTCGTCGTGTTATACTCGGGCTGGCGTGTCGAAAACTACTACGCAGTCGTGGACAAGATCTGGAAACGCTTTCGAGGTCGTGAACCAAGTCAAAATAAGGGGCTTGGCGAACAGAAGTGCGAAGAGTGTGAAGGATGGCTTGGAATTCGTGCGCATGCGCATACAATGGAAGAAGGCTATTGGGTGGGAGAGAACGTCTACTGATCGATCGCATACGAGATATCGTCTTCAATTTGCCCACGTAGGGTATGGATTTTCCAGGGCCGAGCAGGCAACACCCGAATCCAGGCCAAGAACAAGTAGCTTTGCTGGAGGAGGGCGGGGGGCCGTGTGGGTTAACCTCTTTTTTTTCTTGTGAGTGACGATGATGCGGGTGAGAAGGTCACCCAACTCCACATCTCCACGTCCTTCTGTCTGCGTTGACGGTCCCGTCTCTTGTGACCTCCAGAAGTACCCGAAAGTAGCCTAGACGCATAGCCAAGGAAGAGCGAATATGCTGGCATGAAAGAGACCCTGGCGCTCGGCATACCTCCATAACGGCACCAACAGGCTTGGAAGCGGGGAGTCAGGACATTGCAAGTGAAGAGGTCCGAGGCGACCCGCTGGTATTGGCCAGAGACAAGCTGCTGGACCCATGAACCATGTGGGGAGGTGGAGGTGGAGAAGCATGCGCGAGGGCACAGCTTGACTCAATTTCCATCCTTCCCCGTCGCTCGGTACAATTGACGGAGGCAGAGGATGGGGCGAGGGCTCGACGAGGGGGTGGTTGACATCTGGACTGGCCGAGCTAGCGCACCAGACAAGCAGGTAACTGAGAGGTGCCGGCCTCGATGGAACCTAAGCCAACCAGGGGATGGATGTGCTTTCATGCATGCAGACATGGACTTGGGAGGAAGAGAGTGAGACTTCTTGGTGGGGTGCAGCAGCAGCAGGAGGATGAGCAGGAGCAGCGCTGGGCAGGCAGTCACGACCCGGGGCCGAGACTCCACATACCGCCTTTTGGGGCTGCCCATGCACCGTTTTCTCGTCACAGCGGTATAATACTACCAAACCGCCCTGGCACCCGGGAAGGCGCTGCGTGACTGCCTGCCAGGCGGGCAAGCCGTACCAAGGTTCTTGCCCAGGTAGGCTCCATCTCGTTACCGGTCTCCGCAAAAAGGCAAAGATACCTCACCTCCAGCGGACCAGGGGATAGCGTATAGGGCTAGTTGGGGCCCTGGTGCTAGCCACGCCGCGAGGCTGCTCAATGGAGGATGTCGACCGATTGGGGGGAGCATCAGGGAGGGCACCAGCCGCGTACCCAAACCGTGGATGACCTTCCCGAGTGGAAAACGTCCCTCGGTCAAGATGTCATTCAAAGGATCTAGGTCGGTTTGTGGCCGTGCTTGTTCATGCTAGCTGCTGTAGGTGAGGGAGGCAGGTCATGCCAGTTGCTCCTGCATGAATACCCACCGACCTGCTAGCTAGTACCTGCACTCTGATCCGTGCCAACCAAAGGCAGCGCTGCCCAGCACACCATCACGAGTTTGACGTAGCAGCAGCAAACACATCCCCTTGGCCCATCGGATGTAGCCTACTCAAGTTCCAGCTATTCGGCCGTGGTCCTCCTCAGAACCGACCGAGGAGCTACGTACCCAGGATCCCAACCGTTCCACTCGTGATCTTGCGGAGGCACTATCCAAAGCTGATATTGGAGGCCCTAACGAGCCATGCCCGTCTCCATCTCGTCGTTGGAAGATGCTTATTGCAACTACGTCGTCACACGGTGACCGGGTTCCCAGCACTAGGAAGCACCAGCCTGTACTACCGGAGCTCAGTTCAGATGCCGTTGATCGCTTCCCCCAGAGATCCGGAGGGGCACATGTCTCCGTGGCACAAGCATGGTAAGGTCAGCTTCATGGCTTCCCGTAACCGATGGGCTTCGATCCCTCCCGACCTAGAGTCGGCTTGGCTGGACAAGGTCGACAGGGGCAGGCTGGCAATACCAGCATGGATCCAGCTTGAATACCTCATCACTTCCAATATACACCTTGCCACATCTATATCGGCATTCTTATACATATGCCTAGAGGTAGGTACCTACATTCAGACGCCGGGCAAACTAAGGCGAAGCAACGGTCTGCGGGCCGAATTCGTGAGGATGGTGGGTTGTTGAAGCCACCACATGTTCCAATCACATCTCATCGCACAAGACGGGCGAACCTAGAGGAGTGTGGGAGGGGGTGTGCCCCAGATTGCAATTTCCCCAACTTCCCCTCCTCGGAACGCGCCCAGCACACCCTTACTGAGCATGTGGCCAGATACATCGACGCGCCCTCGCTGCTAACAAGTCACTGTTCACATCACACCGGTCCGCGTTTGAGATGCACACCAACCAATGTAGAGGTTTCTGACCCTTTCCGAAATGCTTGCAACCGATCCTCGTCTCAGTCTTCCTCCGCTACCCCTCGGCGTTTCGGGACTTGGGCCGTGAAATCGGAGATTGTCGTCGTCACAGCCGCTACTTAATGTGAAATTAAACCCTGGCTCCGGAACCACCCAGAAAGGCTCAATCGTATGGCCCGTCCTGCATTTATGGGCTCACCTCTCCTCTGCTACACTACATATGCTAACAAACACATTAACATGGAGGGCGGTGATGGCCAGTCACAAGTGCAACCGAACGCCAAGAAAGAGAGCGACGGTGAGGATGCGGGGTGCTGATGTTGATCACTGTTGAAGATGTGTGTCTTGTTGCAGATCCAGAGCAGGGTATCGACGTGGTGCTGCACCATTCAGTGTGATCCTCATACTAGGTTTCTAAGGCCGCGACAGTGGGTAAGCTCTTCCGTCGCATCTCGGTACCAGAGCGAAAGAAGCTTTAGAAGGACCGGAGCATTCGTGGGACCAGCCACTTCAACTCCATTAAGCCTGCCACCCCGTATTCGCCTCCTTTCCGCGACTCCAGTCATATTGAGTAGAACGAATAAGCCTCGGGTGAGAACCCTACCAGGAAGCGTAGCAACGAACGAAAAGTCCCGTGGACCTGCCGACCTGTAGCATCAATGCAAATTGCAAGGAGTGGCGAAAATCGGATGACCTTTCTTTTTTGAATAGATGGAGTGCAACGTGCACTATTCCAGAATTTATATTTTATAAGAGATCGACTAGATCAATAAAAGATATGAGTGTGTAGCTTTCGGCATATACGGATAAATTCAATGTATTCGTGGTGCGCGCCTAGAATTTAATAGAATTGTGTAAAGCAAAAGGCCTGAGCATACCTAGGTACTTGGAGAACTTTAATCCAAATTAGAGAGCCATTCATCTTGGTTCAGTGTTGCGTCAAACCCTTCAAACCCGGTCAGGTTCTCTCTGGCCCCCGATTGCTGCGGCAGCACTCGGCCACCCTCGTCCGTCATGTCCAAAGTGTCGTCACCGAAAACATAAGGGGCAGCCACGAAATTTGGGGTGGCCGAGCTCCGATTGCCCATTTCCCACGTTTCAAAGCTCTGCTGCCAACGCACGCCGTCGTTGAAGAACCAATCCGGGTTTTCCATTCCCGCCCCGGAAAGAGGTGCCTGTCTCAAGTTTGTTGGGTTCGGAGTCATCCCAGAGCTGAATTTGGACGCCGGTCCTGGGCTGAACGAGCCAGTGAAACCGGACATGGACACTTCTTGGGGCTGTTGCTGCTGGGTTAGGAGGCTGGCGGGCTCTGCACCGGAATAGCCTTCCTGGGCATTTCCAGTGAACAGACCTCTCGCCGTATTGAACGACTGATTGGTACTGGCTGAGGGTTGGCCAGCAGCACCTTGGGCCGAGGTAGGTTGGTGGAGGGATCCGGCCTCATTCTGGGGTAGAAAATCCTCACCCGCTGCGGGCGGGGAGAGAGTGCGGTGAGACATGGGAGACGGCACATCTGATGGGTTGAAATATCCATAGGTCTCGTCTGCTCGTTGGAGGGCAAACGCCGCGTCCTCCGGGAGCTCGCATTTCCATTTCCTCGCCAAGACACTGAGGATGGACAGTGTTCTTCTGGCACACAGCCAGTCTTCTGCCATTTCTTCGAGGTGCTTGATGCCGTGGGTGATATCACGCTTCGCGGTCTTCTCTGGAAGATTGAGGAGATGAATGATGCAAGCACTGTGAATCATGTAGACTGCAATATTACAGATTTGGCGGAGGCCCCAGGATCTCTTGTAGAGGCGCATGAGCTTGGAAATAGCACCTGCGTTCGCTGTGCAAATCCGTCTCGGAGATACGTGGGAGGGTAAGGGAGAATTTGAAGGTGAGTACTTGAGGAAAGGTCGGAATAGGTGGATATATTGGAGATTGAAAAACATGCTATCATAACTGTTAGCTCTCCCGAGTCTTTGAATAT